TTAGGGCTTTATACTTGCAGGAAGTGTTGCCTGGACTTTCTGTTGTGTATCTTAATATAAACTAAGCAGACTTTTGCTCTACATCAGTGTTTTTTTGTAGGGAAAGACAACCAGCTTGTTCCTGGAGGTTTTTTTTGCTTCCTGAAGTTCCTTTAAGACATAAACCAGACATGTTAAGTAAGCTGGGAGTGGCCATGTTGCTGCTTTGGTTGATCCTAAGCTTAGGATCCCAGGGTCATTCAGATAGGAAAGGACCTCTAAAAGTGTCCAGTCTACACTGCCCGAAGCAGGGTCAGCTGTGAAATCAGACCAGCTTGAAACAACGGTGATGTAACTATAAATTATTCTGTTGCTAATATTAAGTGATCTGTATTTGGGCTATTAAAAAAAATACCTAGAAATCTACTCCTTTGATAATAAAGTAATTAGAGAGATTTCCAGTGTGAAGTATTGAAACTGGTATTTCTGGCAGAGATTCACGTACAGAAACAATGAACAGACTTTGCCAGAAAGTTCTACAAAAGTGCCTGGGATAACTTTGCTTTCTTGTGCTCCTCAGCTTTCTCTGTTTTTTGTCTAATTGTGCAGGAAGGAGAGGGAGACCAGCACAGACATGGAGGAGGAATAAACAAGCTGTAAGGGGCCTTCTGGCTTAGTTTTCCTGTCCTTGCTAATGCAGTGAGCAAGTCTGTCTGGGAAGGCCCTGCCCTGTTCACTAGGAGACTCTGTAAGGCAAAGTGCTGCTGCAAGGGTTTCCTTGCCTCTCTTTTTTCAGCTGGGTTTTAAAGAGCATCTGTGAAGTTCAATGAAATTCACTTAGTAATAATTCTAACAGTTGATTTCTCCTGTTACTTATACAGCATTATAACATCCACAGCCTTCTCAGGAGGGTTTTTTGGCAGTAAAATTTTTGTTTAACGTTTGCCCTCACTATTCTGTCTCAGTCTTGCAGCTGTGACCCACTGAAAGCCAGTCTCCTGACAAATGTGATGTTAAATACTACTAAGTATCTGAAGGAAGCATTTTGATGACTACAGTCGAAATTACCTGAAGGAAATTAATAAACAATTTTTTTATGATCTTGGAGATGTTTTTGAGTTTGGAAGGAATTGTAACATGTATGACACATTTCTTTCAAGTAAAAGTTGCAGAAAGCTGCAAATGTAAGTTAAGAAAAGAAGAGATACAGGAAGAAATTACATCTGTCAAGGAGCATGATTAAATGTTGACTTGAAATAATGTGATTCACTGTTTAGACAATCTTGTTATGAAAGCTCTAAGTCTTGGATCAATAAAATGAATCTTGGACAGATATTAATCTGGCTCTGACCTTAGAATTACATTCAGCTACAGAACCAAGGTTATTGGTGCCCATCCTAATCAGACATCAGAATCTGAAAACTTAAATATTTGCTTCAGACTAAGGAAACTTTTTTTTCCTTTGGCCATTTGCTTCCTAATGTTTATGTACTTAAAGCTGTGATTAATATGTTCAGTTTGACTGCCTTTCTAGTGGAAGTCATGAATCCAGGGTGAATGGGCTACTGACTGTTAGATTATTATTTTTTTCCTCCCTCCCTACCCAGGAGAGTAGGAGTAATTTTGCTAAAATAGAGTGTTGTGAGAGTTAACTACATGAGACTAGGAAGTCCCTCAAACAGTTACATGGTTCATATTTTATTTCTTGAGTAGGAATTCATCACAAAAACCTAAATGGCAAGTTGGTCCATTTTTCTTCTGTGAGCAAGTGTAAGGCTCTCTAAGATACAGTTTTAATCTGTTCAGAGACAGGACTCGGAAGCTGTTGATGCCCAAAGTGCCCTGATTTTGTTCAGCTGTATCACTGACTTTATACAGGTGTGTGAGGTTCCTCTTGTTGTCTAACAACTGTTATTCCTTGTTCCTTTGCCCAGGGAGTACTTGCAGTACCCCTGTACAGAGGAACAGACTTTTAGTGCAGGTATCAGTTGGCCAGGGTGCCAGTACCAGCCTTGATTAGCTGAGATGGACTTCAAGGCTTGCACAGGTAAGGGAGGATGGTGCTCATTCCTAGACTTGCATTAGGTGCCCCAGGCTGCATTCAGTCGTGATTACAAGGTGTTGCTTTCATTATGAATCATCCACAATGGAGCAGGTTTCTAAAAGTGCACAGTCTGGAATAGTGCTGAGTGTTTTCCATAAGAAAATTTTAAAGGCACTGGGACAGGAAGTGTGCAAATAGCCTGCTGCCAGCTCAAGTAGAGGTGGGGGTGCCTGGTCCTGTGCTTTTAACCTCCATGTCTGGTAACACTTAATCTCAGGGTCTTCCTGGTTTTTTTTCAAAGTACATCACCGTTCTTCTAAGAGGGGGCAGTTCATATCACCTTGTTCAGTAAATAGTGTCAGATCCTAGGATTTGACAGTTATAGATGCAGGTCTCATGTAAAAGCTCTTTTCTGAGAATCACATCTTCCACAAAAGAGCAAATGGACTTAGTGGTGAGCTAATGAATTGCTGAGTCCCAGGCACGATTCAACTTTATGAGTAAGCACTTTTCTTGTCCTTAGCAAAATCCAACAGCAACCTTCAGCCGTGCAGAAACACAGAAAATGTCTCATAGTTCTTAACACCCATTGATTCTGCTCTTTCAGTTAGGAGAAATCTAGACCAAAGGAGTACTTCTGTGCTTGCAGATGTGACTTATCTCCATGAGACAACTGTACTGTAGCAGTAGCTGCATGGAAATAAAGGGCGGGGCATCCCTGTCAGTAGAAGCCTGGTTAATTCTGGGCTGAATTAGTTTATTTATACTCCATTTAAGTTCAGACAGATTCTCACTGCCATCTGGTTCCCAGAGAACAGCTAGAACAAGCACAGTGAAATCTGTGCTTAGATTTAATTTATCAGACTTTCATGTCTTGCTCTATCTGTGTTACCACACAGTTTCGTAAGACAAGGAACTTTAGGCACACCAAAGTTGTTGGACAACAAAAGCTAGTGATATAAAACCTCAATCAGACTAAAGAGCAAGGTATAGCTAGAGTCTGAACATAGGCACCTATTGATTCTTTGCTGCTTAAAGGGATAGTGAGGATTCAGAAGAAGAACCTGGGAATACCCATGTCCTCTGCTGTCTGGGGGACTCTGGTTCTCTCGTCATTCAGGATGATTCAGGCTGGGTTCTGTTTACTCTAGAATGAATCTTCAGTCTTAGACATTGGGTCCTGCTGCAACTTTTGTCCCAAGGACAGAACCTCGGGTCTCATATGTTTGCTTTAGTTCTGCATTTATTGGAGATATGGAGGGATGTATCTCTGTTTCTGTAGAATGGTCTTCCAGATAGATAGAAATGCTACCTCACTTTTGAGAGTTATCTGTTGACATCACTTGTTTTGTAGTGACAAAACAGGACAAGGGAGTGTTACACAGTTTAAGATATAACTGCATGGCCTCTAGGATTTGATCTTTCAGCTTCAAATTACAGATTTACATCAGTCTGTGAATGCTCTGTGCTAGACATGCACATTATCCAGGGATCTCCCAGTTGAACTAGTATTCTATTTAATTTCTCCTTGAAGAGGTGTTGGTAATATACTTTTTTAGCTTATAATGGATCTCTGGGCTCTGGAGAGTAACTTTTTAATCTGCTGACTTTAGAAGTTGTAATACATCATCTCATTTTGGAGTTTTCAAACAGGAGGCCATACACCTGATTAAACTGGTTTATAATGTATGCTGTAAAACATAAGTGCAACTTTAACACTGTTGTGTATATGTGCTTATCATGCATATCCTGTAGTTAAAATTTGCCTTGGAAATGGCTCACCTCAGTAGCTAGGTAGGATTTTTCCCTACTGACAGGTCTAGTTTCTCTCTGTGTAGCTCCATGCATACCAAGGATCTGCTGCTCTTCAGACCTTGTCCTCAAAGGTTTAATACACTGAGCAATTTTCTTTATGTGAGGCTTGTCTGCTCTCTCTTTTATTTCTGGCCTGATTTCCTCTGACTAAAAATACTGAAAAAGTATATATCAAAATTAGAATCCAAGCCCCAAATCACAGCTACATCTGAGGCCTGTAATATTGTTGAGTATCTGCAACTTTCTAATTACAGACTCTGAACCTCATAAATAGGGAGGTTAAAAAAACAAGGTTGAACCTGATGTATGATCTTGCATATTAAATGTGCGGGGTTTAATCTCTGGATGATGAAAGATTTAGTTGTCTGTTCAGAAGAGATATGGGGATAAACATGGGTGACACAACTGAGAGAGCATTTTAAATTGCTTTTCTGTTCCTTTTGATTCTTCTGACACTTTAGTGCTAGATCTTCATTTGTTTATATTGAAGTTCCTCAGTTTTGTTAGCACTTATTTTGTCACAGCTATATTTGAATTCTGTTTTCAGTGTCAGACACACAATTACGTTGAAGCTCAGTGGTGTAAAACGTATTTTATAATTGCAGTATCAGCATCTTGAATCACTGTTCCTAGAAAATGCTCTCCTAGGATCTGGTTGATATTTTTGTAACTGTGGAGCACAATGTCGCATGTTTGCCTGTTATTAAAGGATAGACATGCAGTTCAAGAATTGTGTGATTGAGAATATGCTATTTTTAATGCAGAATTGGTTGTACTCAAGAAAGCTGCTACTAGAAAAATAGAAGATATCTTGTTTCTTGGATGGAATGCCTCTTCTGGCAGAAGCAGACTTTTGGGATCTTGAGGATTCATAGGAACCTTTGTAATGCTGAGTGGTTGTCACTGGTTTGTCTCGTGCTGTAGTTGCAAAGGCAAGGGCAGGTATAGTTTGTAGCCAAATTGAAAAACACAACTTGCATAATATAAAGAGATAAACCTTTTGACAAGATCTCAGATGTCTTCGATAAATAACAGCTGCTTTTTAAAGCAGGGTTTCGTGACTGCCTAAGTTGTTGCTCAGTATAAATATTATTTTCAAATAGATCTGGTTATGTGCACACATTGTGATAAACTGTCTTAATTCTGTTTGCTCTCTTTGCAGGCTGCGGACTTGAGTAAACCAATAGACAAAAGGATATACAAAGGAACACAGCCTACATGCCATGACTTCAATCACTTAACAGCCACAGCAGAAAGTGTGTCTCTTCTAGTGGGCTTCTCCGCAGGCCAGGTCCAGCTTATAGACCCTATTAAAAAAGAAACTAGCAAATTATTTAATGAGGAAGTAAGTAGAAATCTTAACATTGTTGCATGCAGTGTGTCTGTGATATTGAAGTTCCTAGATTTTCCAAGTTCTGTAGCTGGCTCCATTTGCTCATGTAGCTTCTTGTTCAGTTGCAGCCTTTGTTTTTCAGCTGTTCCATCGGCTTGGAATGAATACCTACACAAAAATGCTATTCATGAAGGCATCTTATGGGGTTTAAGATTAAATAAGGACTTTCTGATTTGAGTAGTACTGTAACTAGTTGATGACAATTTACTGATGGAAATAAGGTCTACAAATCTAAATGTTGCTGTGTGTGCTCTGCAGTCAGTTGTTTCTGAGGCTTCTGGTTGCCAATGAAGAAAAAAAGCATTTAAACCCCTACTTAACTAATGCATTATGGTCAAAATGTTAAATAAGTTAAAAATACCAATTTTTATGGTCAGGACGTTACAGTGGAAACTGCCTGTGTTGAGTATTCCTAAAGGCTTGTTTGGAGAAGAGTGGGATATCAAGCTGATTGCCACATTGAAAAAGCTGAAGGGTTATGAGGTCTTGGCCATGTGATGTTCCTGAAGGAAACTCTCCATCTGCTTTTTCTGCTGCTATGCAATAAGGAAAGATAGAAGGAGTACTATGTGGCACACTAATGCCAAGTTACAGGACCACTGGCTCTGCTTATCTTGTAGTATTGGCATTCTTAGAAGAGTAAGTGTCCAGATGCCAACAAGGAAAGAAATCTGGTAACTGGGACAACTTTTGACAATGTTTTCTGCACGAGATAAGCTACAGGAATTTGTGTAGTCTGGGGGAGGTGATTTTCTTTTAAGGGGGTGGTCTTTTGCTCCTTTTGTGTTTTAATCCAGTGCTGTGGAGGGGTTTGCAGGTTTGTTTTGTTTGTGGGATTTTTGTTTGTTTTTCTTTTCCTTTTAGAAATTTCAGATCTGGATCAGAACTTTGCAGATGAAGTTAAACATCGCTCAGCTTTCAAGCTGAGCAAATATACCTTTCCCATCTCAGAGAGATGTGTTGCCTTGCTTCTTCTTTGTGCAAAGTACATTGAAATATTGTTCTCAATGGGGATGTTTTATAATTAGAACTAATTTCTCCTCAGCTTTCTAAAAGTAGCTACATGTAGATCAGAAGAGGGGTGTTTTTCTTGTTACCTGGCCTTGTCCCAACTGCTCTGTCTCTCTGCTTGTGTTGAGTTGGAAACAGTGCTGGAGAATCTCTTAATGTTGCATGGAGTACTCTGTTGGTTAGAAATTTCTGTATAAGTAGTTGAAATGTTAATTTTAGCACATTGTTCTAACATCCCTCCCCCCAAAAATACAGCCTGATTTATTCTTGTGTGATAATAGTATAAGTATTACAAATGGGAGCAGAAATACTTTGAACAGTTAGTTTCATATCACAGAATAGCTCCCAAACTCTTGTAGCTGAACTGTAGTTGCCTTTCATCTGTGCTATAGCCAGGTTACTTCACTGTGGTGGGAATATGTCCTTTGACAGGTGGAAATTTAAATGAGGTGATATATTTTCTACCAGGCTAACATAAGGATTTGCTCAGTGCTACCAAAAAACTATGCACACAGGCTGCAGTTAAATGACAAATTCTTGTTTCCTATACTGACCTTATCTGCAGTTATAACTAACTCTGATAAAACTTTTATATATTTTTACTCTGCCAGTTACAGTATTGAAGTTTGCCCTGGACATGTTTTAAGTTCTGGCTTGTATCTAAAAGCCATTTCAGAGAAACATTAGTGAGCACTGATGTTTGATCCAGTTCATTTGCTTCAAGATGAAGGTGCCTGTTGGGTTTTGAATATATTTAGAGTTTAGGTAGTGTTTGAGAATAAATATTTCTTCATAAGGTGGTCTAAATGAGTGTTTACATCGTTCAACAGTTCTAGCTCTAGTGCTAGAGGTAATAGAATTCACCACCTGTCCTTTTAATAATTTGGTGATTCAGGAAGCCCAAAGCTCTGTTTGGACTATCACCTGTGATAGCACTTAACCATGTGTGATATGTGAAATAACTCAACCTGTTATGACACAGAAGGTTATGTTAAACATAGACTACATTAAAGCTATTGCATTTTAACTTGTTACTCTTCCTCTTTTTTTTTTTTAAATTCTATTGATATAGAAGACAGTAGGGACTTGAAAGGCTGAGGTGAGTGATACTGTGCAGCTCGTGACTGCCTGCCTAAATCAGTCTGTGTCAACAGTGGTACTCCTTCCAACTGTGACAAAATTAAACTGCTAAAAGTTATAACTTCAGAGTTTTTATCTTCCTGCTGAATTTAAAGCTCTGCTGGTTGAGAAGGGGATGAGTTGTAGTCACTTGCTGCACATCGACTTAAAGTCTCTCTGCATCTTGTCTCCTTGAGCTGATCTGTTCTCATTGCAAATTGCAGTTGTCTGTTTTTCACAGCCTCCTTGCAGTAAAGATCAGGTTTGCAGGTCTTCTGTGCAGTTTTTAGGATCATGTAGCCCAACGTGATTATGGATGTCAAATGCCATTTCTGGTATAAAAGTTGAGCCGCTGCTCTCCCAAGTAGAGGTTGTATGTCAGATTGAGCAGCTTTAGTAGAGGAGAGCAAGAAACTTTGCTTTTGCTGCCATATTAGTGATGAGAAGACTGTTGCCTTTAGCAAGCCAGAGAGCTGATGTTCCCTGTCTGTGTTCTCCTGATGTGTGCAGGTGCGTACCTGTCTAATTTCTGATATCATCATAATTGAGACCTGAATGATATATCAGTGAACACTTGAAAAACTGTTTAAAATATCACAACAGAATTGCAGAATATATTACTTTAAAGCTGCCACATTTGAAGGAAATTTGCCAGATTTAGTTACATCTCTCGGCTCTCAAATACAGCATGGCAAATTTAACCAATGAGGAATTACAGGAGAAAGACTCACTGGTTTTACACTGAGGCTTGACAGCAGGAAAAGTATAATCTAAAATGGCCAGGTGCTGCTTTCCAGTGACAGTTACAGGCCCAGAAATGTAACAGTCAATGTAGGATCCATTAGTTTGGGTTTTTTCTGTATGACAAACAGCATAGTAAGTTTTTTTGGGGGAATCTTTTTTCTTCTTTGTAAGGCTTTTGTAACTTGTTCTGGTATCCCTTCGGCTCTTCGTATTTTCCTTCTTGCCTTTTGTGTAGCTCAGCTCTTCTTTCAGCTTATAACCAGTATGCCAAGTACAAATCTTGAATGTGCTTGTAAAGAATTACTTGTCTGCAAGTTGCAGCTGAGTGGTGCCATGGTCAAATTGGTAAGTTTTAGAAGTCCAACAGAACTGCAGTAGCAAACTCAAGGAGTCAAACTTTAGCTCTTAGAGCATTGAAGACATCATGACCAGGAGCGTTTGTTTAATGTTTGTTCATTCTTTTGCAATGATAGACTCTATAAAAATGTTTTGCTTTAAAAGAAACTGCTTAATCAGGTTGTAACAGTATTGGCAGGTCCTTGGCTCTTGAAAGAAAAGTAATTGGAGGGTGGGGATTCCAAGGTGAAGAGTATGTGGTACCTTCTGAATTCACCAAACCACACACATTTACCTACTGACTTTCCAGCCACATGATAACAAGGTCACTTTGTGTGTCGCCTTTGCTCCCTGAATCAGTAAAAGCTGCTGGAGGCTCCTAAAGCCTCTATTTCAGAGGTTGGATTTTTTTTGTGATTTCAGATAAAAACAGAGCCTGAATTTACTGTTGTTGATTTGTAGACTGTTTGCTTTATAACACAGATGAGTAACTGCCTTTCTCCCTTTTAGCTTGTTCGGTGTTTCCTTGTTTCATTTTCATGTTCTTCAACCTACACAGGGAAAAGTAAATCTAAGAGCACTACCCTCAGATTCATAGCAACAGATTGGCTTGATTGAAGTATGATCTTTGTGGAATGTGACTGGACCATAATAACAACCTTTGAAAGTACTTTGTCTGAAAATAATCTCCTCTTTACTGCCTGATAAGTGTTTGCAAATACAGTAACATAGTTCCTGTCTAGAAAGTTGAGTTCACTTTAAGTAATTGTTCCTCATCCCCCAGAGAGCTCAGATTTACAGTTAATCATGAAAACTTTAATTTTCAGACTTTCTGATGTGTATCTTCTTTGTTTTTCACAGAGACTAATAGACAAGTCCAGAGTAACCTGTGTAAAATGGGTACCGGGTTCGGAAAGCCTTTTCCTAGTAGCTCATTCCAGTGGCAATATGTACTTGTATAACGTGGAGCACACTTGTGGTACCACAGCCCCGCACTACCAGCTACTTAAACAAGGAGAGAGTTTTGCAGTGCACACTTGCAAGAGTAAATCCACAAGAAACCCTCTGCTTAAATGGACAGTAGGTGAGGGTGCCCTGAATGAATTTGCCTTTTCCCCTGATGGGAAGTTCTTGGCGTGCGTGAGCCAGGATGGTTTTCTTCGCGTGTTTAACTTTGATTCGGTGGAATTGCATGGTACAATGAAAAGCTACTTTGGAGGACTGCTGTGTGTGTGTTGGAGTCCCGATGGGAAGTACATAGTGACAGGCGGAGAGGATGACTTGGTGACAGTTTGGTCTTTCGTGGACTGTCGAGTCATAGCGAGAGGCCACGGACACAAATCGTGGGTCAGTGTCGTTGCGTTCGATCCATATACCACTAGTGTAGAAGAGAGTGACCCGATGGAATTTAGCGGAAGTGATGAGGATTTCCAAGACCTCCATTTTGGCAGAGATCGAGCCAATAGCACGCAATCTAGATTATCCAAAAGGAACTCTACAGACAGTCGTCCAGTAAGTGTTACATATAGATTTGGTTCAGTAGGCCAGGACACACAGCTCTGTTTGTGGGATCTTACAGAAGATATCCTCTTCCCCCACCAACCTCTCTCAAGAGCAAGGACACATACAAATGTCATGAATGCCACAAGTCCACCTGCAGGAAGTGGTGGAACTAACCCGGGAAGTAATGGAAACAGTATCACAACACCTGGAAACTCTGTACCCCCTCCTCTTCCGCGATCAAACAGCCTTCCACACTCTGCAGTCTCAAATGCTGGCAGTAAAAGCAGTGTCATGGATGGTGCCATTGCTTCTGGCGTTAGTAAATTTGCAACCTTATCGCTACATGATCGGAAGGAAAGACACCATGAAAAAGATCACAAGAGAAACCATAGCATGGGACATATATCTAGCAAGAGCAGTGACAAACTGAACCTAGTTACTAAAACCAAAACGGACCCAGCTAAAACTTTGGGAACACCTCTCTGTCCCCGAATGGAAGATGTTCCCTTGTTAGAGCCTCTTATCTGTAAAAAGATAGCACATGAAAGACTGACTGTGTTAATTTTTCTTGAAGACTGTATAGTCACTGCTTGTCAGGAGGGATTTATTTGCACATGGGCAAGGCCTGGTAAAGTGGTAAGTTTTAATCCTTAATGCTGCATCAAAGAACTAGAACTCTGAATAGATAGTTTTCTTGAAATATAAATGAATGTTGAATATAAAATTTCTTTATGCTTAATGTAAAAAAAAATATCCTCAGAGCCATACTTTTGGATACTGCATGCCATATTTCTGAATGATTTGAAGTGTCTTGGATACAATTATTAAGTATAGTTGCCTTCCAGCAGAAGAAATAAATACTGTGCATCTAAACTATTGATCAGTGTTCTTATACTTAAGCATAACCACAATATGGTGAAAGCTGTTTATGTAAAAATTGAAGTAAAACCTGTCAAACACTAAAATAATTATAATCCTACTAACTTTTTCTACAAAATACAGCACTCCCAATGAGAGTAGCTTACGAAAAGCTGCTGCTTTTAAGTCTAATGAGAAATGTGAGCCTCTGAAAAAATTAAAGCCAAAGTGTTTTATTCCTTCATACTTTTCTGTGGTGGCCTGCCATTAAATGTGAAACCACTTCTTATTCAAACATCAGGCATTTTATGCACAGATTTGTGAGCCCTGTACTGACTGTAGCTTATATTCTTGAAATTGTGAATCAGTATTATCAAGAAACTCTAATTTTAGCCAGGTATTGATTTATGTATTTAAGTTAGATAAAATCCTGCAGGCTTTCTCTGAGTAGTTTCAGTGTTTTGTTCCTGTCAGGTTTTAGGCAATTTGATCATCGACAAGCTCGTGCTTTTGATGGCACCTGTTCCATCAATTGAACCTACATTAAAATCTATTATTGGTTCTAACCCTTGTTGTTAATGCACTTGAACACCTATAAAACTTTATTTTTCCTTCTGTCCAATGTATAGCAAGCTAAATTTTTAATGAAGCTAAATGTGGTGATTCTTTTGTTAAAAAGTACTTTGTGCTACAGTAGCTCTGTCTGCCAGCAACAGTTCAAAGGAATACAGCTATGAAAACATTACCAGAGTTGGTCTGGCAAAAAGGACCATTATTTTGGTGAAAATTTCTGAAAGGGGATGTAGATTATCACCTGAAGTAAGAGAGATTATCTGGTAATACCTGAATATTGCCATGTTGGGCAACCTAAATGAAAATCTGTTGTTCATTAGGTTTTAACCACTTGGTTCATAAATCTGACTTTTGAAGTGGAGGTACTGTATATATTTAGATACCACATCTTCATTGCTATAAACTTTCAAGTAAAACTCAATTTTTCTTAGAACTGTTTGTATAATGTAGGTTTCTTTTGAGATGTTATCAAATTTGTCACAACATAGGTGTATGCATAGAGAGCTGTGTCTGCTCTGCATCTTAATGCATATTTAAAGGTTGAATCTAAAACTAAAAGTTGTAAACCCTTCTCTGGGGAGAAGGGAGGAGGGTGTTACCTAAAAGTATTTTTTTGTCTCAGAACTAGAGATCCAGCATTAATGAAGGGGAAAAAAAAAAAGAGCATCCCCTCAGAATACTAAACTGTTTAAAACATTTGTCCTAAATGAAAATACTAAAGCAGTTATACTTTTGTGACTCAGTGCACTTCACATCTTATGAATTAACTTTAGATGCTTACAGCAGTGCCTCAGATTGCTATTGTGAGCTATATTTTCTTTTGGTTCTAAAATTCCTTCGCATACTACTAAACACTACATTGTTACATTTATTTTCAGTGGCTGAGGTGGGTTTTGTTAGACTGAGTATAACTTAAATATTTTTGTGTATTGACTTTGATTTGGAATATGACATTTCAAATATTTCAGAGATAAAGTATGCAGTACCAAAAATCAGGATTTATGTATTGGCCAATATGGAAAACTTTAATTACAGGTAAGTAATTTTCATGCTGAAGTTATCACTTTCAAAATTAATATATTGCACACTGATGTAAATGCCATATTGTTTAGGATGTATTTACTTAGAAATTTTCAAATTAATTTGTTTTTCTGATTTCACTTGCATTTCTAGTGAGCTCACTCTGCTGGTAAAAACTAAATTTTGAGGGCATGTTTACAGGGCTTTGATAAGAAAATACTTGTGCCAGAAGGACGTTATGAGCATCCTTTTTGTTTATAGGAAAGCACTTAATTTTATTTAATGAGAATTGTCAAAGTATAAAACACTCATGGTGATGTCTTTCTTACTGGGTTATATACCATCATTTCTGTTTCACCAGCTGCTTTATCGTAGGCTGTCCCATTACTCTGGGGTTTAAAGTTGCTATTTCTAGTCTTCCTTTGAAATATGGGTCCCCAAATGATCTTAAAACTCCATCACTTATTTGTCTACCAGCTCTATAGAGAGAAAGCCTCTGAGTCTTGCTGCTGTTTCCATCATTGCCTTCAAAAGGCCTTCAATAAATTGATGCCACTGCCAGCCTAAAGAAAGAATTGGATGGAAAAGTGAAGGAGGCTTGCGGTGTCTAATGTAATTCCCATTGAACCTACCTTTCCCTTTCATGTCCAATATCCATCAAAAGACATGTTGGATAATTGGACAGTGTATGACAAGTTCTGTTTATTTTTCTGGTTGGGCTGGTGCTGCCCTGAGTGGAAAATAAATCCAGAAGTGTCTCTTCAGCCATGATCCTTATGGTAGTTGATAGGCTGTACAGTGCTGACAGTGTCCTGGCAGTTTGTTTCTATACTTTCCAAATTACTGCTTCTGTGTGTCCAAAATCATACCTTGAGCTTCCTCACGGGATGTACCGTTCTTGCACTGCACTTCCAGAACTGCTGTGTGAAATCCCAGTCAGTGAGGCAAAGTGAATGGCAAAATTCAATTAGAAGCAAGTTGGATGAGGCTCAGGGTTCACTAGTTTCAATTTTTTAGTCTTATTTTTTGTTAGCCCGTTTCTGTGGAATAAGGTTCAGGTGGTGAGAAAAATAGGTTGCCTTAACAAGAGTATGAACTTTTCTTCTCAGCGTGGTGACAATGAGCTGTCATCTCTCACCCCTGCCTTTCCCAGGCCCTGATAGGAAACCTAAATGGGATTACAGAACTCTTGGATTAATCTGAAAACATAGCAAAAGTATTTTAAAGGAACCAAGGTAAACTTTATGGGCTCTCTTTATAGCTAATTCAGACTGAATTACAGGATCTGCAGAAGCAGTTAAAAAACCCCAACAAAACTCCCAAAAAACCAAAGTGGTACCTGGATATGCAAAACAGCTTTTTTCCGAATTTAGTGGTCAGAGGCACTACCTGTGTGATTCCCGTGTTTGACTTTAGAACTGACTATTCACCGTCTTTGCAGCGACTCCATTTTACGTGAATGAAAGTTGCTGATGAGTTTCCTGTGTGAGAAAGCTCGAGGTAAGATTGGCCAGAAGCACCCCCAGGTGAAATGGCAGTGTATAACCTAGCAAGAGAAACATGCTACCACTTTGTAAAACAAATGCACATGGGATTTATTTATTTGACTTATTGTACAGGAAAACTTAGACTTAAATTATAACATCCTTGAATTTTCTAGTTAACTACAATTGTAGTACAGTATCATGTTTTAGTATGACTTCTGTTTTAGTGAAAGTACTTAAACATTCATGTACTATATTTGAGTGAGATGAGCAGCTATACATACTAATTCTTCCTCAATGGAAAGGAGCATTTCATCATTACAATTGAAGTTCAATTGCTGGTATTTAAGTACTATCAAATAGATTTCTTTCAACGTGATACGGTATCTGTATAAACTTCAGGGATGATTATAGTAAAACTGAAACACAGCTATACGACATCAGGTTACCATGCTAAAATTTGAAGCTTTCTGTAATGTGCATAATAGCAAAGTTGCACATGGCCTACCCCCATTATCAGGGTGAATTAAAGCCTAGTACACTGGTGTGATATTTATAGCAAGGTATGTGTGTGTGTGTGAGTGAGGAGGTGTGAATAGTGGCTCCAGTAAAGCCAGGAGAGATCATAACCCTGTAAAGGCTTTATGATTAGGATGTCTGGACTAGGAAATAACATGACTTTTACTAAACACTTTCTAGAAAACCCATGTTCTGAATTATCACCTCTTAAAATTGGAGTATGTACTTGGAATGACTGTATATGTCTGCCCCTTTAACAACATAAAGCTACTAAATTAATATTTAAAATGCTGGCCTGCTTATGTTACAATAATAAAATTTGTGTCAGTTAATTTACTGTCAATTTACATGTAAAGATTAAACTATTTTTTCTGCATTTTATGATTCTGTATACTGGAGTTTGTTAAAGATTGACATGTTAGGTGATACTGTACAAAATTGTATTGACTACCTTTAGTGAAAATCAAAAGTAAAATTCATATGTATTTCCTTTTTACACTTCCATCTAATTTCTTGACAACTTGAATAAATTTCATAGAGCCTTTCTAACATGAACTATTGTTAATTTAACTGTTGCAATAATTAAGCTTTAAGAAGTATTGTTGGTATATTTATAATTTTAAGAAGATCATGTTTGTTTCATACTGCTTATTTTTAGCTGTTCTATTGTCACTGTTACAGCTGAAGAACTTTACTAAATACTTGACATTACAAAATAACTTGCTGGGGTTGTCCTCTGTATACTGATGTTAAATAAAAATGTGTGATTGAACTGTAAATGTAGATAACTTTCAATAGTCCTTTCCACATTTGAGTTTTAATTTATCTTGCAGTCTTTAGGTGGTCTTATGCTATCACACAGTGCTGAGCAAACGGCCACAAAGAAACTGTTAACTTGCCATATTTTAAAGTCAGAAGTTGTTGGCATCTGTAACTGCTCTGAGTCAATGTTTCACTTCATCTCAAGACGATGCAGATGTTTTAATGTTTAAATCTTGCTGATAAGGTCATGTCTTATGATAGCTATTCTTTTAGGACTAGAGTAACATGTAACAGAATACTTACCAAACCACTTTTCAAACTTGTTTAAACTCAGATTCAGTAGAACACAGACACGCATGTGTTCAGATTCTCTCTGCCTGTCAGGCAGGAGCTGGGGCAGAGTGTTGTCATTCCTTCTAGGACTCTACAGGAGCTCTTTCCTCTAAGGACTCTGATGCAGGCTTTGTTCTTGATTCCAGCTTTAGATCTTGGTGTTTACCTAATGCATGCTGAATTTACAGCCCCGAGGATGTGGCTCATAGAGCTGATTCAAGCGAACCAGAAGTAAACTAGTATAAAACTTTGGCTGCAAAATTTCTTGGAGTCAATTTTGTCGAAGACTTAAGATATTCTCCTTCCACCTGAGGGACTAGGGATTGTGTCACCCTTGCAGCAGTGTTTCAAAGGAATTTTTCAGGATTTCCAGTGTAAAAATGAGTTACTTTGGGCCCAGACTGACAGGGAGGAGTGTTGTTTGTCTCTTATGTAAAAATACTCTCTAGACTAAAGCTGAGGGAATCATCTTTCTTAGGTGAACTTGAGAACTCTGTGGTACTTCAGAAGGTATTGATTGACCACTGGATGGTCTAAACATAGAACATAAATGTATATTTAAGAACAGGTGCCAGTATAGGAACAAAATGAAATCTGCTTGAAAGCTTCTGGGAACATCCAGTTACATCAAATGATGCAAGAACTGCTTGGTCAAACCAGTTTCTCTGAAGTCAGCGTGAGCCTGAAACAAAACCACCTTCCACAGGGTTTGTGGTCAGAGAAGATTTGGCAAAAAGGTGTCTTGGAACATGAAGGCGTCATCTTGCTTGTCTTTAGTAGTGTTGCACAAACTTCTCAAGGAAATAACTTGTATGACCATGTTATTTTCTGGGTTTTTAAGCTGGATTTTAGGTAGCTGCTGGTCAACCTTATCAAATTCATTTGCCTCTTTTCTTCTGCTGAGACCACATTTGCTTTACAGCTAAACCCAGATGGGTTGCCTTAAGCCACATGTTTTTCCCTGAAGTTTTCCCTGGTTTATCTCAATTTTGTTATTTTCTAATCTGAAAATTTTACACCTTACTGACTTCTGTAGTTTGAGGAAACTAGAGAAACTGTTCCTGAGCATGTGAGCCTCTGCTACCTAAGTGAAGCTTAAGGTCCTGTTGTTCCAGGCAGGTCAGATCTCTGCTGGCAAAAGCCTTTTTTTGCCTTTCCCAGCACACAAGTAGTTGCATCTTAACTTTTTTTTTCCTCTTGGACGTGCCTATCTTCCGTTCACCAACCATACATTATTCTTGATGTCATATTGCCTAATACCACTGGACAGATTTTTAGTTAGTCTGCTTGTTTTCTACCAGCCTTGACTTTGCTTTTTGTTGACAATGAATAAAATGGTGATACAGGTCTGTTAGGAAAAAACCTCTTTTATGTACACAGAAGAGGAGTTGCAAGTGAAACCTCGAAGCCACTACAGTCTTTTATAAGGTCTGGTGTCAAATGGTTTAAGCATTTATACTTTTCTGTAATGCTGTTAGAGCAAAGGACAAAGGCAAATGGAAGACAAACAATAAATTTAAAATTCCTTTTAGTGAACGCACAAACTGCGTAAAGAAGGGTATCAACTTTGCTGATACATAAATCCCATACAAACTATTTCTAGCATGTTATGTGAATGTTCATCATGTGCTTTCCTGAGCATTCTCAGTTAAGCAATTTTATCTCCATTAGAGATTAACATCTGATTTAGTGAGTATATACAGTTCAGAGACTTTTATTCAAATGAATCAGCATTTATTTAACAAGAAACTATTGGAAAATTTGTTCATGCAAAACTTAAAACCAGTTCAGCTGATTTGACTACAGAATTTTAAACAAATGTGAGAAATCTCATTCTGTTTTTGGCATATTATTGCTCAAATACTGTAATGGATGTGGGCTCTTTTGTCAAGCAAAGGTCTCAGTCAAGATTACTTTGCTAAACAAAATAAGAATAAACTACCCATGGAATATTTTTCAAATAATAAATTCCCATTATTTCAAATACTGGGAATAGTACAAATGGTTTAACAAGTCAGTGCCATTTTTGTATGGGCATTTGTTAATTCAGCCATATTTTAATTGGTTTAATTGCATTAGTGAAGTGTTCTATGAGACTTTTTTTTTTTTACATTGGATTGTTTGTTGCGTTGAACCCTTTGTTTTTAATACCTTTCAATTTCAAAACAGAAAGTAGAAAGAGGAGCAGTTTGACATCCAGCACATTCCTGAGAGCCAGGGGAGCTGTTTCCCTGAAGGAGTTGCTCCTGTCCAGGGTAAAGGGAGCGTGTGCGAGCTCGTGAAGGAGCACAGAGCACGTGCACTTCCTCTAAACCATTCATGTGTCCAAACTTGCCGTTTATGATCGCACCTTTGGCTCCAATTAAATCTCTTCTAATTTAAATGAAGAAAATATTAACTCAGGAGTTACTGTTGACTTTTTTCCTACTTAGAAGTATAATACTATCTTCCTGGGTTTTTGTTTTTAATGCAGCAATTACACACTGATCTTTCATAGAATTAGTTTCTGCTGTGAAACCTTATGTTTCATGTCTTTTGAAAAAAAGCCAGACTTTCGTCTGGAGTGTATGTGGAATTTTTAAAAAAATACCTACCCGTGCAATCTCCTGAATGGGGAGGAGGGTTTGTCTTTGCTGCAGGTCCTCAGACCACAGCTCTGAGTGCCCTGAACGTCTGGTGCAAATGACCCTCCCAATCCTCTTTGTTGAGGCTTTTCATTCCTACCCACACAAGCCTGTTTTTACCAGATATGCCAAGTCCTGTGTGTTTCAGGAAGTCAGAGAATGTATGGACAAACATGGATAGCCCCAGCAGCTACTGCTGACACAGCCTCTGTTCAGTACTCAGCGCTAGTGACTGAGGAAAACTGACACCATCCTCTGAAAGCTTCATCTGTCATTTGTCATCCACAGTGTCCATTAAGATGGCAGATGGGGTAGCACCCACTTGGAGGACCCTCCGAGCTTGAGATGAACATTGTTTTATCTCATTCCTGCTTTGTATCTCATAACTCTTCCATTTCCCACCCCCTGCTAGATCCATGTGCTGACAGACTATTACTACTACTAAAACACTACATTTATTTCCAAAACCTTTTTGAGCAGTCTCTTAATTTATCTGTGCTGCTTTCTCAGTGGGCTATGTTTGTCCCAGAGCCTGAAGCTGCTGCACTGCTCAGCAGAGCTGTGGCTGCCATGGCTCTGCTCTTCCATGTTCCTGTCACAGCTGTTCAATGGGGCAGCTTGGCTGTTGCCCCAGTAAGTTGCTACAGCCTCTGTTCCATCTTTTCCCACCTCGTTGACCAGACTGGGTGGTTCCATCACAGCAGGCACTGTGCTCTTGTGGCTTTATTCTTTAGTTATAGGTAGGAGCTTTTTATATTTTTTCATAACCTTACCCATCGTATTATTCCAGAGAACACAATTACAACTGTTCTAGTCCCATACCCTTTGTATTACAGACCAGACTCTTATAGGGGAACTTTTGTAGCAAAAGAATAATTTTATTTGAGCCCTTACTTGCTTTTCTAACATTGTTTTTAAAGTTTCCTGTTACACCTGACATAACTTCTTTCATAGCCTTGCTTGGCTCTGGTATAATGGCAAAATTCTGTACAATCTTTGTTGTTTCTCAGGATACATGAAGAGCTTTCACCATTTTGGTGAAACTTCTGGCCTAAAAACCAAATTCATATTCTTGCTTTTCTTATATGAACATATGTCTTTTGAAATGAAGTACTTGGAAATGCTCATAGACTTTCTGGTCTCTCCAGTGGGAGTGAAGTTCTGAATGGCCATTGTAGCCTGGTCCCACATTTTAAGGAAGGACTTGCAAAGTTGTTTTCCATCTGCAAGAGCAGGAGGATATTGATCTTGAGATCATTTCCACAGCAGTGTTCCTCTGGCTTGCCTGCTCAGAGTTGCAGAATTAATTCAGAGCAAGGACTGAAATAGTGGGAGTTCCTAGGACTCACTCAAAGCCATCTGCACTGCTGCTCTTTAAAGCAGGGAGCATTCGTGGCCTGGGAGATGAAACCAGGACTGACTCCACGTTCCTACATTTGGAACTTGAATTCCAGGGTGGCTGGTAGTTATGGAGAATTAGGCACTGCATTGAATTTCAGTATGTGCTGCCAGTTTCTAGAGGAATTCTAGGAAAATGAATGACTCTTCCTTTTGTTTCCCAAAAACTAGTTGTGTTACAGCATAAATCCAATACTAGGATAGTGGTTATTTCTCCCTCTCGCTAGTGTGGTTATGAGCCTGTTGAAAAAGACTTGATATCATGCCATCCCTAGTGCTTCCTGTGTGCTTATAAAGCACATATTTGCATATGAATAGTTTGGATTGCTGATTTATTAAAGACTGAAAATAATACCTTTGGACGTCTTTTTCCAGGGTACTTGAAAGTTGTTTAGTGGATGTAATCTTCTGGCAAGAAAGACCTTCCAGTTGCTGCTGGATTTAATAGACTTGTGAAGAATGCTTCAGTAATGAACTAGAGAGTTCTGATTCATCCTCATCACTTTCCAACAAAACTTCCTTGGTAAAAAATTTCATAAGTGCTTCAGTGGCTTGTTTGCTCTAAAGTTCTGCCTTCTTTCACCATCTAGTCCTTAACTAATAACTAAGAAGCTTCTTGTTCTCATTAAATATGCAGTATCTTTGCACAGCCTGAATGTCAAGTGCAAAAAACAACCCACTTCAGTCTACCTCAGCAGTGTGAGAATCACAAAACCCCTGCATAAACCTGAGTACAAATAAAAATAAGTGTCCAAGTTCCTTCAGGTGAGATCTGTGGAGGGCACCAAATTAAGTGCCACATCCTTTATTATAAATATATGTTTATTATAAATATGGAATGTATGCACATCTACACAGATCCAGAGTCTGCTATAAATCCAGCAAACTATCCAGGTTCATAACGTGTCTGAACTGGTAGATCAGATGGTTTTTTAAAAGGAAGGGCTTTGGTTTTAGTAGAAACTTGATGACTTGAATCCAGCCAGTCTGGCTTTCTTTCCACCTCTTCCATCAGTCATGGCCTCTCATTTCTTGGATCCAAGCATGAAAGAGCTCCTGTAGATTCTGAAGATGGGACATAATTCTAACTTGTATGCTAATTGTTGCCTGAGCTTGTCTAGTTTGATGGATCTGAGTCCCGGGATCCTAATTTTGAGGTAAGGACCTAAGATGGGAGCTGCTTAGGGGAGTTGCTGAAAGTGCATTTATCATGCCTACATGGTGAGGAGTTGCATGGGGATAGTCTCTGGTGTGCTTCCAGCTGCCAGTGCTCCTCAGCCTGCTGGCGCTCGTTAGAACTAAATAATGACCTTGAAAGAACGCTAAATTGTATTCTGATATTACGCTTTTCCTAAATAAGTCTGATAAACAGTTACTTCTACATGAATGATTAAAAAGGGGCTACTGTGCACAAATCTGAAATGTAGTCTGTCCATTGGTATCCACAGGTCTATCCATAGGTATAGTTGCCTTAATCCAGAGCAGTAGCCCCTGTGTAGCGAGGGGGCCGCGCAGTCGCGGGGCTGTGTCTGAAATGGAACAGGTCTCTCTTGATTTGAATGGCAGGGTGGGTAAAGCAGCTGGTAAAAAGCTTTCCTGAATGTGAGCTTGAATTGTCATGGGAAACTTTTACTGAGCTCTTGTCAGTGTTCCATTCTCTTTTAAAATCACCAAAACAAATATTTGGTTAGATTATGTATTTTTCTATTCAAAGCTTGTAATACTCGATCACATAAAAGAGATGGAGCGTTTCCCTGTCCGGTCAGGTGTCAAACTTGTTGATAGTGGAATAGGTTTGTTTGTCACTGCCCTAATAAAATGCTGATCACTTTTTTGGTGTATGATTTTTAAAGCTTCACAGTTCACAATGACTCAAAAGTGCAAGGTAGATTAAACCAAATGCTGGGATCAGATCCTTTCCGTGTCCTAAACGCACACGTTTTGTTCCCGACTGAGAGCTCTTTGTGTGCTGCTTGGCTGAGACCGTGGTGGCTTAGAGCCTGTGTAGAAGAAGGTGCTGATGTCTGGAGTAAGCAAGTGGTGGTAAAAATAAATTGTACTCATTGTAGGTTCAGGTTAAGAACTTTATAAAATTCATGTCAGGTTCTCTTGCTGGATTAATGTAAACTGCTTTGTTTGCAGGGTTTATTGTCATCCCAAAACCAGGCCAATTCTCCAAGTGGAACTGTAGTATAGCCATCACACTACTGCTAGCAAATCTCTGAACGCAGGACAAGAAGTAATGACAGTGGAACCAGGAGCTGTTCTTCAGGCAAAGAGCATCACAAATTTTAATGTGGCAGAGTGTAAACATGGAATTATGTGAATCACATAGTGACTTGCAAAGGACAAATGCAATGGGTTCTCACTACAGCTGATCCTGGTAGGCTGCTCACCCAAGGAAGAGTTTGCATTGGAGAAAAAGCAAAAAGCTTCCTTTGGTGCTGCAGGAAAAAGTAGTAACATATTTGGTTTTCTTTATACTTTTCAAGTCCAGTGTAATTTAATCTCTCTATATAAATATATAAATAAAAGATATATATATATATATATAGTGTAAAATAAGATATGTTTCTTAAATTCAAGTAAGTTCAATGGTTAAACTAGTACTTCACCATTGTTTATTTTGCACTGATTTTTTTAACCAGAGATGGCTAGAAGACAGCCTGGAATGCACTCATGGAAAATGAAAGTCATTACTTTCTGGCTTCAAAATGTTATTCAGGAAGATGGATGCTGCAATCATAGATTTTTTTAAAACAAAATTGTTTTGCACTTAAATAGTTTAATGCTAATAGAGAATTACTTTAAAATTGGTGTTCAGACACCAGAAAAACTATGTTGTGGAGAAAAGATCCTTTGTATCTATTAAACATTTATTTTAATATTGTTGTTTTCAACGGCAATCGGCTCTGTATTATATGTATAAATAATGTAATTCAGTGATGGGGGAGGGGAGTAAGGGATCATTACACTAGAGATTCTCATTCATTTAAGAAAGTGATATTTCTAATTCAGAAAATACATATTAAACTATCTTGAATATGCATTTTTGTTTACTTTCTGTTCAAATTCGATCACTTTTGATGTAACCAATCCTTTGTTGAATTAAATGTTTGGTACAGAAATACTATCTAAACTTTGTAGAACAAATTCCTTTCAAAAATATCTCACCTAGAGTATTACTTCTTATTTAATAGAGTTGAATTTCACTTAGGAAAGTGAAATACAATTGTTCTGTTCTCATTCCTAACAGCTTATCTCCAAACACATAATGAAGTTTAAATACATAATGCAGCACAAGTCTCACAGGCAGAGCTTCTTGAGGTAATCCTGTAGTCTCGTGTGTTTGGAGTTGGGAAGTGGAAGATCCCAGAGTAGTAGCTGTACACTCTTTCTGACTTGGCAGTCAGAAACTGGGTCAACATACTGGAGTATTCTGAGACTCTTTTGTTTTACATCAGGCATCTCATTTATAATTCAACGCTCTTAAACTGATAAGTGTGACAGGGTCAGACAGATCCATGGATTTGCAGAGGTTAAACGCTGTTTGTCTGAACACTCCTCATTTTTAACCAGTCAGCAACACAACACACAACACTTAAATTGTTTTCAGTGGTTCTTGCAAAGATTAACTCCTCTTTCCCCCCAGAGATGCTGCTCCATGTCAAGCCTTGGAAAATAGAAGTATCTGTCACATTCTTCCCTTTATCCTATGTAGCAATGATCACAATTGGGATTTTGGAATCCTGCAGGCAGAGTGGAATGGAGGCTGCTTGCCTGGGACCGTGAACTTGCCTGAGGGTGTACGAGCTGTATCTGAGGCACATGTTACTGCCCTTCCTGCTCTCCAACGATAAAGCCTGGTAGAAATTTTTTAATTACATGTAAAATTTAGACATTTTCTGGCATGAGAAGTGATTTTTTCCCCCAGAAATTAATGAAAATTTTGGGAGAAGCAGCTGCAGTATCTCCTTGTAACTAAGTCTTAATCTTGCTATGCAGCCATGTAGAGAACTGCTAGATATGTTTATAAGCTGGGAATTAGTTGCCTACTTTATTCAAGATGGAGCTGTACTTTACAATGCTTATCTATTTGTGTTCTTCTAAAATATGAGGGATGGGGAAAATACTGAAACTGAGCAGGATTATTGTTCAGAAGTCTTGTTTTATTAACATAGTGGGTTTAACTGTTAAAATACAGATAAACCTTGTCACTGAAAACTAGTGTAGTTATCTCTCTGTAGACTTCTTTTATGTATGCGCTTCATACGGTCTGAGTCAAAATGAAAGAGTTGACAAAATATGCAGTAACTTTAAAAGACTTTTTTCCTTCAGCTGGAAAAATACAAAACCAGTATGGAAAGAACTGCAGTATCCAACATCAGGGTAACAACAGCAGCTACTCGTATCCATGTTGTCCCTGCCACAAATCCTAGTTCAGCAGCACACAAGGAATATTGTGTGTGTTTTCTTTTCTTCTTTACTATTTGGGCAATCATCTAGAAGCTTGAACTGCTTGTGCCACACTCTGTACCATAGGGAAAAAAAATCTTATAGGAATAAATAGGATACTAATAACTTACCGGGAAAGAACTTAAGAGTTCTACTGTAGATACGGCTCTTAATAAACTTTTTCCTACTACATTAAAAAAAATAATTAACAGGGAGGGGAACACAAATAATCTCAATATGGAATTTTAGCTGAGAGAATGAGGGTAGGAACAATACTTGCCAATTTGCAGTTTAAAGTTTGATGTATTGTAACTATAAAGCAGGTGGGAAAACTCAGGTTTGCTTATTCATCCAACTGCCAGAGAAGTGTAAATTGTCTCCAGAGGTTTAACAGCAAAGAACTTGTTATGAAATAAATATCCTTGAAGCACTGTATGTGCCACACTGTGTAAGATCCACCTGAAAGTGTAAAAGAAATGAAAAAAAATTCCAACATGGTCCTTCACTTACTTCAGATTTGCAATTTTCACAGCAAAAATGTGACATTGCCATTTTCATGATAACAGCCTGACCGCCCCAGATACAGGGTATGTGATAACATACAAGATGTCACTGTGGTAGCCTCTTCTCTTCAGGTTAAAACTTACCAAGAATTCTGACTTTGTATTTTTCCTGGCATATGAATAATCACCTACCTGATATATTAATTATGAAAGGCAATAACACTGGCAATAACACTTTTGAAATCAGGAAGGTACCAAACTGTGCAAACACAATTTGAGGGGAATTTTTTTTTTTAGTTGAAATACTTAAATTTCAGCATCTGTGGTTTGAGGCTTCTAGAAAAAGGTTACAGGAAGCTACCAACACAATTAATACATCTCTATCAGGAACATAGTTCTGCTAATCTGAGCTTTGACCTCCTGCTAGGTAAGAGAGCTCTTAGAGTGGAAACAATCTGTCAAATGTGGGTAGTAGGATTTGTCCTCTGTTTTTTTGTAAGGAATTAACAACAGTGGAGAGCAAGCTCCCTTGGATCCAGTAAGTTACCTATTTTCAGACCATCATTTTTACAGCTGCACACTATGCTCAGCTCCAGATATATTAGCACTAAGCAACTCACCATTTTCCTCTACGGAAAAAAAGACTGGATAAGCTCATGGCACCTTCTGCTCAAGAGATCCAAAGGTAAGAAGTCTGAGGCTGCTGTTACACTGTGTTGCCTATAGACTTGCAGTCCTTAATTCCATTTCCTAAGTGTAGTATCACACCTTTCTTTTATATATACATATGTATAAACCTATGCTAGTTTATATATATATATATATATCTTATATATTTAATATATATATAAACCTGTGGTAGTTATTCAAACAAATACAGGATTGCCTTATGGTTGAAGTTCTCCGTCAGTATAAGGTGCTAACATAAAAGCAGGACAAAGTAGAGAGATGATTAACTGGAACATGTAACAGAGCAGGAAAACTCATCCAGTCACGGTAGTTTTATGTACCCTCACTGCACTTGGGAGACACCCTGGTCAGGAGCACATTTTCTGCTTGGAACTGGAGGAAAGCAGCATCCATCCACATGGGTTTTAATAAAATGAGAAAGAGCAGTTACCTGTACCACTGTGTTCTGCTGTTTAATTCTCCCTTTGTTTCGATGTTCTCACTCTACTGGTGCAGAGCACTTCCTCCACTAAAACTCAGCTTATGTATTTGTTCAGTCCTAGTAAGAGAAATCTGCTCTTCCTCTGGCACACCTAGGGCGAGTAGCAGCAGTACAGGTTTCCCTGCAGAGCCTTGTTTAAGTGCTGTAGCCTTATTTTACAAGAATTCTTGCCAGGGTAGGATATTTTTCCATTCTTGCTCTTGAGATTCTGAAAGTTCGCTATGAACAAACAGAATAAATTGAACAAAGGTATGTGATGCAGGTGCACAATATTTAACTTGGATAGTCAAATTTGAATAAATACAAAAAAATGACTCCCACAGTATGCACCACCACATTTACCCTGTGAATATTTTCACATTTTAAAGAACCTGCTAGTAAATGTCACATTGATCCTCAGTACAGTATGTGAAAATAATACCTTCTTCAAAACATGAAGATAAACATAAGATAGACAAGTGCTTTTTAAGCAGTAGATGTCAAAAGGACTCATAAAGAACTTGAGTCTCATGAGCTTCCCCACATTCTGGGGAATTCGGGTGTGTTCAAAGTTGCCCAGAATCTGAAAGGCAGAACAAGGAACAGGATCTAATCCAGTCACAAAAGAACCTTAAAAGTGCTGAGAGGCCTCTTCTGAAAAAAACAACCAACCGACAAACCACAACAAAAGGAGCGTAATGAGAGCATAATGGGCATAACTTTTATTCTAGATGACTTGTATCTTTACAAAATCTTTTTGTTAACCTATATTTTACTGCATTGTTTGAGCTGCATCTTAACTGATTAGAAATAAATAGTTTGAACTTAGAGCAGTAATCTCAACCTGATGCCTAATGCTTGGACGTGATGTGCTCCCCAGTGTGTTTTTCATGGTGCCTCTCTCACAACACACCCTTTGCCTCCTGCTCATGGCTGGGTTTTTGAACAGCAGCACCAAACCCCAGTGTTTGGTTATGGAAAAAAACGCTGATCACTTCCCAATTATGAGCAGACTAACTTCTATAATTTATAAAAAACCCAAAAAAGTTATTTGCCAAACCTGTCCTCCATAAACACTTGGTAGGCAGAAGATTTTTAATCCCCCAGCTGAGTATGACTTGCACAGACTCTTGTTTTCTAAATAACAAAACTGTCCTGGAACACATCACCAATATGTATTGCAAATTAATTAATGCAAATTTTTAGATCTCAGGAGTTTTAAAATCAATGGTATCAAGCTGGAATAACGATTCTTTCCAAGGAAGATAAGGATGTTGCCCTTTAACTCTTACCTTTTATAGCAATAGGAAACTAACTTGTTACTGATGATCTGTGTGCAAAATTTCTGAAGTATGATGAACTACATGCCTTCACTGTGCTTTTAAGCCACTGGCTGCAATATCAGTCCCTCTTAAGACTTCTGATTAAAGTTCAGATCAATGGCTTGAACCAAACTATGACTAAATTTTACTTGCTTTCGAATCAGATAAAAAGTTGGTTTAGCTTTTAGCTAGCTTATAGTTACATAAAAATACTCAACAGTTACAGAAACTGCATCAAAACCAAGTATCTCATATGATTGCACAATCTCAGTAAAACCTGAGGTGGAAGTTGCTGAATACAGGAGGAGAATAATTTCCAGAGCTGACCAAAAAAGAAATAAAATTTAAATCTAAAAAAAGTACAGCAGTTTGCTGACATTGGTAATGTAATTTGAAAACTTACATTCTGTAGATAACATTCCATTCCTAATACTTGAGCTCAAAGAATCCTTTTCATGTTATTTTTAACCAACCTCCTCCTCCACCAGGTTCTAAAAGGAACAAATACTTAGGAAGTTAAATGCAGAATGCTCTGTGCTCTGCCAGAACAATGCTTTAATTAAATATTGACCCACTTCAGGAACAGAATACCAAAATGATAGGATAGCAGCCCTCAAACCTTGTGGGGTTTTCCTACAAATTGTCAGAGCAACAAAAAACCAGGCACTGCTGTTCTTGTTAGATCTTTAACAGCAGAAGCACGACTGGGTCTCTCTTCACTGCACAGCCGTGCTTTTCCTCACTCTTCCTTCTAAAGCAGGCGAGTAGAAATGTTTCAGGGAAGACTTAAATGCCTTCTGTTTCTCAGACTGTTGAGGAAGCAACAGAAGTTTGAAATACGCTTCAATGGGCGAGTGAGAGTCTACACCTCAATGTTTGATCCAATAAATTTAACAGACTGGAACACAGGGTTTCCACCGCTTTCCTTAGGTGCCCAGAAAACTGAGTGCAGTGTAGGAGTAGAACAGGAAGTCAATTTGGCTACTCCAGAAGAATTTCATTTTGGTAAATCTCCAAGAGGAGATCCATTTTGTTTTGTTGTTTGTTTTTTTTTCCTGGACTTTCCTAAGAGAATGCTTTTAAAATAAATAAACAAGGTTCAGGTTTTTTTCTGAGAACATCTTAAGGAATAAAATTAAAACAGAAAATCCAAATAATCAGAGAAAAAACCCCAAACCGTGGCCAAATACTATTTCAGCTCATTCTTTTATAAAAATGACTTGCCTTACTTGATGTTTCTTGCCATCTTTCCTAAAGGAACTCCTTACAAAGCCTACATTGATGAACTCCAGACCTAAACTGGTGGAAAAAGTGAACTCTCCTATGGAAGGAGAGTTCATGCTTTCAAGGTTGAATGCACAGCAGAAAATAATTTATAATTTTTCTTTGCTACTGTAGCACAGGGTTTTTTTGAGAAAAACCTGTATTTGAAAGTTTTTGATGTAGTACTAAGTTCCATCTCACCTTGTCGATACAGCAAACCCTTAAACGTTGAGTTTTTTCACATAGCTGGTATATAAACAAAGTTTTAGTTTGCCAAAATTTTTAATCAGATCTTAATTTTTTATTTTGTGTCAAAAACAAGCTTAGGATTTTCCCAGATATCATCTAAATTTGCTCGAAATGTAGACTGAAGCCCTGAAAAGGCAAAAGCACACTTTCTGTCTCTGCCACAACTTCATCTGCAAACTCTCTAAGCCAAAGGCAGACAGCAAAACCAGGATGGTGATATTTAAAAATAAAGGCGGAGCTGACCCTTTAAGTAACGGTAACTCTGACAAAAGTCTACTGAAGGGATTATGGGGTATCAGAGCTTCTAAATTCTAACTCATGTATGTCAGGGATTTGGGGGGAGGGGGAAAGGCATCAGACCAAATAAAGATCCGTGTTTAGGCAGACGGAATAAACCCAAGTAATCAGCTTAAGTTAAACATTTGTTTCTAGCTAACAAGCTCAGTGCTACAAATTACTTTCTCTAAATGGGCTGACAATTCTTCCACTTAAATACTACCTGTCTTAAACTTGCCTTTGGAATTTGGCACACATACGGAGGTACTCGCCCTTATGTATTTCTTAATAATCTTAGTTTTTTGTGCACGGTCAAAGCTTGTGTATCAGCTGCCCTAAAAAGTCTGGGGGAAAAAGAGTAGAGAAAAACATCAGTTGTGCTTTAGGTGAGGTTTGGACTCAAGGCAAACAATTACATTGACTTGAGTTACATTCATTGTATTGCAAGCCAAGAACTCGCCCTGGAAGCAAATTTCATTTCAGTCCAGCTGAAGTAAGGACAGCACTCCCTAAACTTTCTGATTTTAGTCTTCAAGAATGAAGTGATTTGAAGTCACTTGCCAGAGTTCCTGAAAATAAGGGTGCTGTAATGCTTGATGGGCAGCAGTTCTCTAATTGTGGTTGTATTTTATCATTGCATGCAGGAGAGAGAAACCTTTGGCAGTCAATTTGTGCACTAGAGGAGGTTTTCCTTTTCCTTTTTTTAAAGGGGAAATCAAAACTAGAAATTCTTGACCTGTGTTAAGCAAGCTAAGGAAAAAATTATTCATGCATATTCAGAGAGGATTACAATTTACTGAAAAGAAAGAATTCATCAGATTTAGGTAATCATTTATTAGGGACAAGTAAGTAGTACTTAGGAAAAAGATGTTTTCTTTCCTAAAATGTTACATCATTGGCCTTAAGGATACTATGGAAATAAAAGGCCAAATAAGACTGACATAGGCTCAGATTTTCTCTGGTCTGACTGTCTCTGGGTAGGGATAGAAGACGCTGCTCTTGGGTCAGCACGGAATGAGGTGTTTGTGGTGGTTCCAGAGCAGAATTTGCACAGGGCTGTACAGTTCTGTTGTAGATATTTAAACAGTGAGATTAATAACTGTGGGAGTTTATACTTAGTGCTTGAACTTCTTGAGAGTTGTTTTAGCAAGAGTGCCTATAATGTGGATTTTTGAAATTTGGTCCAGCTCATCAGGTCCAAGAAAACTGCAAGGTAAGAGATGGTATTAGCACTAGAGAAGACACAGTTAAACTAGTTTAGTTGCATAGCTGCCACTTTGATGAAAAACAAATAATTTCTAAAGAAGATAACAGGTTAGAATTACTCATCTGTGGACAGTTTAATAATACCGACCAACAACTGATGGATAACGTGAGAAGCAGAGCAACACAACTGCAGGTTTGGATGGAAAGAGTAGTTTGGGTTTTTAAACAGAAGCTTGTAGCTGTAAACTCTCCTCACTGGTTTGGGTAAAATATGTAAAGAGAACATCCCTCTTGGTGAAGGACAATGGATCTGGGATTTTGTTTTCTTCTAGTAAAGTGGCAGATCCCAGAAGACAATGGGGTTTCCTCATTTTAAGACAGCAAGTCAAGCAGTCCCTCTTGCTATGTATGCACATAGAGGTACATATTTATCACACTCTATTCCTAACAAACAGGTTCTTTGCAAGCAGGAATACTGGAAAGATGGTAATTTGAACTGCATTCCTGAGCTTGATCCTCAGTTAATATAAAACTTGTATAGAGTCCTTGAAAACACTGTTATCATAACAGAGCAATCTGACTTTAGTCAGGTCCACTACCATTCATTTCCTGTACATGTTACTTTTTTCCTTGGGCTTATAATTTAAGAAACACTTCAGCAGCACCATATGACTCTTGAAAGCAAATCATTCGGCCCTCTTTGTAGACAGGGTAAACTTCTTTTTAACTGTTTGCAAATTCAATCAAACAGCTGGCTGCACACTACTCTAAATGTCTTCATAAAGCTTTGAGTTGAGGAAGGAGAGAAAAAATCTGATTCACGTTGTGCAGCTGTATCAAGACAAGCAGCTGGGAGTAGCTTGTGTGAACAAAAAAATGTGCTGTCTTTGAATGTAAAACTAACATAGTGAAGAACAACTGTGCAAGCCATGAAGAAGTGCAATCCAGGAATCATGATTTAGATGGAACAGAAAGAGGGAAACTAAGATTTGAAAGATCAGCATGGCTGGGTAAAAGACTAAAAGTTCTTACACAATGCCATGTAAAGCATAAAGGCTTATGCAAACACTGAACAGCAACAACTGCACGATACACTGAAAACGAAACAATCCTGTCCATAACATCCTCTAGCTTGGCAAGACTACCTCTTTAATTTGGCAGTTTCCAATAAACATCCCTCATTTCTCTCTGAGCACACCTATAAAGTCTCTGAAAATGTGCAGTGGTTGCAAGAAGTGAAATTTTTTACATTAAGCTAAAATTACAAGGAAATATTTTTAAGGGGTTTTTTTTGCCCTAAGAAAACTTGGAGAGTTTGCAGTGTGTAATTTTCTTGCCAAACTTCAAAGCCCACCTGATTCAGACTGAAATGAAACAACGTGGCATTTTTAAGGCTTTTGGTCCCAATTACTTGCAAGAGTTCTGCCACATTTGGGATTTTTCTATTAACAGTTTTCTGGCCGAAGCAGAACTGTTTCTACAAGTTAGCAGGCAAAGCATAATGGTTGTCATTTAATGTGATGGTGATGGCAGCAGCTGCACTTGCCATGTGGAGGAGGAGGAAAGAAGCAAAGCAAATGTTATCACTCCTGGTTGCATATCATAGACAGCAGTGTGGGAGGAGAATAAAGAAGAACTGCTGCTGTTGCTAGGGTACAAAAATATTGGAGAAATACTCATGGTGGATATTTTTCCTTTTTTCTTGAAGACTAGTGACAAATTTTTCGAGTTATAGTTTCATCATCACCAAAAAGCTTAAAGGAGTTTAATCTGGGTTTTCCTGAACTCTTCCTTCATCAGAATCCGATTTCAAAATATCCCAGCACACGAGGTCTTAAACAGCACCAGGGTCTTAAATGCACTATACTAGAAATCAAAGTCATAAATCAGAGGGAGTGTATTCTCTAATCTCCTCTGGTTTTGCAAAAACTATTAGTAAGTCAAAAAAGAGGGAAATATTTCATCACCAAGTGTATTAACTACACTGAGAATAGTTAGTGATGCTCATGAGAGGAAATGAGCCATACTATATACAGAGAAAAGCAGAAAAAGTAAAATTTTACTAAATCTGAAGTCATTGGGGGAAAAAAGTGTTCAAAAATGTTATTTTCTTTGTAAATAAAATGGTTGTAATGTTGGTTGTACTATGTTCTCTTGAATATGCAACTGCTTTTATTACTAACCTGCCATAGGGTGAAGAGAGTGCCAGGCCAGACCGGATTACTGCCTCATGAACCCTGCAGATTAAGCACAGAAGAAGCTTCCACAAATCCATGGAAACGAAGATCATATTACCACATGCCCTTAATTTATTTACTTTTGATTATCTTGAATAACAATAAGAAAAGCCTTCCACTGAACACTGTACCTTGTGATTTCACAGAAAACACAGCCAGCACTGCACATACCCATTTTGTAACTTTAGTGGCCATTTGCAAGGAAACATTCAGGTGTTGGGTACCAGCGTGGGGAGGCACAGCCCATATGTGCCTGCTGAGAACAGATACCCTACAGGATCCAAAATCTCCCAACTTCAAGGTATTCTGCTGCAAAAACAAGTAATGAATTTCAACAAACTACAAACAGCGAAATATTCAATCAAGTATTTTCCTTAAATGTGTGAAGTCATCATAAAAGAAATGACAGATTACTTTAAGAAGAAACTTTCCAAAATACCAGGGGTATCATAGCAGTAAATAGCAAGTAAATACCTTTTAAATAGCAAGTAGCTCCAGGCTTGAAGGTAATCTCTGTCCCACAGTATGTGCATATACCGTTCTGTACATCATTAAAAGAAAGACCTAAGAGTTAATTGAAGAGCATATGGACTATTACTGAAGGGAAGGCTGCTAAATAGGACATCTAGATTAAGTTATTAGAGTTCTTCTGTTTAGCAGTGATATAATAGGTGGCTTTGGCTTCTCCTGTACACTTCTGTGACTTAAAAGAAAAATTTACCTCCAGAAAATAAAGTTGCATAAACTGAATTTAAAAAGCCTTGCTTTTCAAACTTTTAGCAGAATAACCTTCTGAAACTGTCAGGAGAAATTATTCCAATGAAGAAATCTTCTGAAAGCCAATGTCTTCTCACTTTTGTATAACTTCCTCTAAATGTAGGAATTGAATGTAGAAAGAAAGAACTGCAGAACTGAGCCCTGCTACTTGTATCTAGGTTAACACAAAGGAAAATATATATTAATAGAGGATAAGAACAGGTTTTTAGATTGGAGGGAATACATGCAGGCTGTTATACACCTGAGTTATTTCAGGTTTTAGCTAGTAACAAGCTTGCTGGTTCATTCCCCAAGATCAGGAATACAGTATTAGAGGTAACTGTGTATATATTTTTTTTAAAACTGCACCTTTATTCATAAAGAAACATTACCTTCTCAGAGTTAAATGTCCTCACATGAAATTAATTACCTTTATTATTTTTTCTGATTTCACATCTCTCTGAAATATCCTATTTCTGTACTAATATAAACACATAAGAGAGAAGAATTCAGTAAAAAGACAAACATTATCAGTGCTTCCAGTTATTTGTAAAAAAAAATACTTAGAGAAATTAACATTTTTTCAAACTTATCAACAGCATAGTAAAAAAATTAGTTTTGCCACTATGGTGAGACAACAGCAACAGGTATTGGAATGGGGAACAGGCAAGTCCAGGGAGGGGATGCCAGGCTTTCTGCTTCTGCTCCCACTAGGACTACCTGAGGATTGCAAGGGCCACCCCCTCTCAGGAGGGCTTCCTGCCACAGGTCCTGGAGCTCCTTTGGGATGCTGGCAGCAGCTTGGGCTGCCTGATGCCTTCCAGGGCTCTGCTGCAAGCAAAGATGCATCTGGGCAATGGCCTCTTCTCTCCCTGCAGGTGTCTGCTGCTGCCCCAGACTGTTCTATGTCTCTGCTTAGAAACACCCTGAACTAAATATATGCTACATGTGCTGTAAAGTTGTTGCTGAACCAGGTCTCTTACCTATGTGTGCATTTGAGATTTGCATAACTGGTACACGTTGTTCTTAATTTTTTTTCAAGCAATGGCTTTCTCCTTCCTAGAATAAAATTTCAAGTTGTGTAAGTCCTTTTTAGTAAAGAACAGAATACAAATACTCTACTCTTCAGCTTCCACAGATGCACTGATATCACCTTTTTCGATTATACTATTTCTGTCATTTATAGCTAGCTTGGTAATCTATCTTCCACTCAACTTCAGACATAATTTAGATTTCAGTGTGCACCAGAATAGCTCAGCTAACAACTGTCAATTCAAGAGTCTGTAAGCTGCCTTAGTTTTTACTGCATGTATTTATTGCAGTATCTGTTCCCCCAAGTTCCAACAGAACTGCAATATTTCACTTCGGAACATCTAATTTCCTCTCTACACAAAGCAATTGTCCTTAAGGTTCAAGATTCATATCAATCACCTCAAGTTACTGCAGTGCTTAAATGACTGTGATTCACATTTGAATTGCAAATTAAAGGTTAACCAGTGTAGTTTGGCTTGCTGTTGCTGTTAGGTAATAATTACAGTTATAAAATTTATCTATTTTTCAGAGCCATTCAGTAACTGCTCAGCTTTTTTCTTTTATAGGCTCCAAAGGCCTTTTAATCTTGCTGTAATGCCTTTATGTAACGCTGCAATGCCATCAAGGGAGGCAGAAATGATCACATTTTTGAAAAACAAAGCAGGTACTGATCTGCCTGATGACAGTAGTATGAGTAATTGGCTGGGGAGGAGGAGGGAGATTATCAAGACAGTAACTCATTGAGGCCACCAGTCCTAGCAGCCAGCGAGACTTGTGTTCCCAACTGATTACAGGGCTCCTCCAGGCAGCCACATAATCCACTGAGCAGGATTAGATCACAAAGCACTTCGAACACAGTACCACTTACATTGGGAATTGTAGTGGTGGTGCCCCTGTGGAGATAAATGGTGCTTTAAACGTCAGGATTTTTGTCATTTATAATAGAAAAGATTTTATAAAATGCTGCTACTCAAATCAATTGGGATTATTATTAGTATTTAAGAAATCAGGCCTTCATAAAAAGAAGTCATGCTCAATTGCTTTTTCATTACAGTTCACTAGTAGAATCTGGAGCAGATGCTCCTCTGCTTCCAAATTTATCATTAGAGAAACCCTATTTGGCAGTAATGGTGAAGTGAATCCTAAAGTAGTGGCACTTGAGTCTTCTGTCATTTCACTTGAGGCATCCCCCACACCTCTCTCTGAGACATACCTTTTACATTGCTTTAAATGACCAAACTGCTCTTGATTAAACAAAGGGCAAGACTCTTCTTCAGTTATTAAATGACTTGTGATTCCACTGTAAATTAACAGCAAGAGAATTATGACTTCATGTAAAGACCAATAGCCTTGTCTTGATTGAAGTAACACGGATCTCTTGGTTTATTAAGGAAAAAACCAAAAGTATCAACTTTCCACATTAGTAGCATTACAGTGACCTGTTCTCCTAATTACACAAGTGTCTCCATACACCTTGTTAAATTAAAAAATTCATTTTCAGTCAACTCCTGCTTCAAGTTTTTCTTCATTACAAAATATTGTACAAACCATGCTTGCCTCTAAATCTTTCTAATGTAAAGATTTTTAAAATTGTTCTGCACCTACATTAAACCTGATTTTGCAAGACAGAGCAGTCAGGAAATGACAGGCATTCGTGTTACTGTAGAAACTTAGCAAAGACTACAATTCCTCTGAAATGTAACTACTTTTGTACCCTCTGCAAATGGTTTTGTGACAGAGCATTGCTAATGAACAATTGAATTGTTCAACAAATTAGTAATGCACTCCTTCAAATCACACTGCTGAAAATTCCAGAGGAGCTCCTTCTACTTGCCATTGTTGTGTAAAGATCCTCAGTCAGTAAGGCTGAGAAATAAGATTTCTGGCTCAGAAATAAGATTATTTTTCCAGATTAATTACGTACTTGGACCCTTTGCTGTATTTATTGTTGTTACATTTCTTGACTTTGCAAGAAGCCACAACTAAAGTTGTTTGGGGAGAAAATGGATAAAAACCTATTTCTGCCCCATAGGAAATTGTAGTAAATGAAAATTTACTTTTAAACTCCAAAATTAATTTCTTAAAAATGCACTGTACCTGAGACAGATTAAATGCTTGCATACTTCAGAATATCAAAATACTTTTTTGGGTATTTATTATAATCTCCATAGGAATATGTTGTTCATTTTCCTGTTTTATTCCATAATTTGACAAGCTCCACCCCATGTGCTACCACCTCATACAACATGAAAAAAAGACACTGTATCATGGGAAACACAGTCCAGGAAACACAAAACCAGGATATAAAGAAATTCAGGTAGACCCAGATTAATGTTCAGATAACCCCTAACTGCAGCATTTCAGATTACTATTGAACATAGATTTCATTTTTAACTGATTCGCCGTGCCATAGAAATGGAGGTTATTAAAACTAAGTGGTAGGAAGATAATCTTCTTATGGAAAACCTGACTTCGATAAAAACTGTATTTAAAAAAAACACAAACAAAACCAGAACATACTGAAACTATGATTCTAATTTTCATCTGAATACAATGCTTGATATAGCAGGCTCTTTCACATGAAAAGGAGAGAAACACTGAGAAATGTAACCAAATGAATGCAAGTACTCTGTTGTTAAAAAAAAAAAAAAGGCAGTTAAAGAACAAACTTAAACATTCTGATTTTTCATAAATGAAGTACAGTATCTTTCCTGGAAGGAGAAGATGCAGGATTGTTTTTAATAAATATGCAATTACTCTGACTTCTCAGGATAACAAATCTACCCTGTAAAAACAAAATGTCTAATTAAAACCAGCAAACACTAATGTCTCCTTCAGTCATCAGCAAACAACTGTATTCTAATCTCACATTCTTATGTAGGTCAGAAAGAGAGTTACTCCTTTTGTTAGAGACCTGAATGCTCAGTGTCACGAATGTCATGTTCAGGAGCAAGTCTTTGTTCTGTTACACTGAGTGACAGTTGTGTGCTCAGTTATTTAAAATAATCTCCCAATTAAGACATTAAAAATTCTTAATTATTCATTTAAAAAAAACCTCTTTTGATAATGAATTGTAAGTATATGCCCCTTCATTTGCTGTAACTTTCTCTGTTAGTGTTTATACAAGATTTGGTTTTAAATCAGATTTTGTTCTAAACTTTTTTGTAGGAACTCTTCCTTAAGCTTTGTGGTCTCTGACATGCTTCCACAAACAGCTCCAGAATTTTTAAATAATGGTGGTTTCAGGGAACAATGTTATTTTATAAAGAAAACTTGGTAAAAGGCATTTTTACTAGATATAAAAACTGAAAATCGTTATTCATTGGTTCAATAGTTTTGAAACAAATGGGAATAATTTTCTTATTACCTCACTGCAAGTCCTGCCCTAACAAATCACAGAATCACAGAATATGCAAAGTTGGAAGAGACCCACCTGTTTAAGTTTTATTTTTTGTTACATAAAGCAATTATTTTCTCTTTTGCAGTCAAGGTTGTTTGACTGTAGAATAGATGGCCATGGACCTGATGAGAAACCTGCATTCATGCCTTAAACAAGTGGGTATATTCCACTGACAAGAGCTAAAGGGAAAAGCAGTACAGCACAAAATTTCCCTGTGAGTTTTATAATCTGTAACAGTGAACAACCAAGTGAAACATAATTAATTCCACTTTGTGATCTACACAAGGAGAATTTGTGTGCTTCTTAAGCATATGCTACATACCTTTTATCAGTTCATAAATAGCCACGTCCATAAATTCACACAGCCAGCGTTTCTATCATTGCAGAAACAAGTAAGGAGACTTTAACCTAGAAATAAAATTTACATGTTGATTTGTATACAGCATAGAAAAAAGTACTTAGTTTAACCGGTATTAAAATGGACATTTTCATTTTTAATTGATCCTGTCTCAGAGAAGTTTTTAAACTTAAGTCTGAGGTATCATAGTTTTAGCTTATACTATTTGAAGTGTCCACTGCAGAAGTTAACTGATTTACTCAAGAAGGATGTCTTCTGGTCATATCACTCTGTTCAGAAATTTCCAGTAAATTAACTGATACAGTTTTACAATAAAAGGCAGGAAAGCCATTACAGCCAATATGTGAAGATACTTTCTAGTTAGATCACCAGTAGTGTTCTATTGCATGGAAATGAGTATCTGACTGGAATCACTGTTTTGCTGACAACAGCAATTTTAAGTATAATCATGATATAATATATCTGACACTTTATTTTCCATTTCGCTGCCCTGCAGAGGCAGACAGCTTTAGGTCTTCAGTTTTCCCTGTAAGATAATTGCATTACAGCACATCTGCCCTGCAATGCTGTGTTAAACCAGGCAGTAAAAGGTGGGGGTACAATCTGCAGTTCAGCTCAGACAGAGAGCAGGAGCTCTGTGAGCTGGCTGGCCAGCTGGGTTACACTTGGGTAACAACACGGCAGCTGAGACTGAGAATTCCAGAAAGCCAAGCTGCTGACACCATTACCGGCTTCCCATGTGTTTGTAGGAAACAGGCCTGTCATTAACAGTGTAGCACCCGAGCCTGGAGCAGAGGAATAAGACAGCCTGAAGGGCAATATAACATATTTTAGAGCAGTTGACAAGTTTTGTGTCAAGTATTTGAATAATGAAGGCTATGTCTGCTGTTGCAAAGCAATGGAGAGTAAATGCTGTCATAAAACGTGATCACTCTGTGAGACAGAACATGTCCCCAGAAGACACTGAAGTGCCTAATGAGCATAAGGAACCCAACTTCATCACTGGCTGATCTCTTTCCAAATGCACAGCTCAGCTGCTGTCTCATTCTGAGATCTAAACTTTTACTACTTGCAAAGGGGTTTCTGTAAAGTTACCTGTGAAATGACACTGCCAAATAGTTTGCCTCGATCCCTAGTTCAAACTGACAAGTCAAACCAAGATCCTTGAAGTACCAGAGCCTATTCCAGCAGATAAGCTCTGAGTGTGCCTAACCAACACACTGTCCCAGTAGCCATGATGTGCAGTGAAAACACTAAACTGGATACGGAACATGGGTTGAAATCACCAGCAAGTAGTACACATTATGAGATGACATTTAACTATGCTTAACATATATTTAGTCTGTAATTTTAATACTGATGTTAAAATATTTTTTGTCTGCTGCAAAACAGACAGAGAAAGTGAGAACTACACCACACTTTCTTATCAAAGGCAGGGATGTAGACTTCAGAATTTGAGAAATGTATTGTTTTTTCTTTTCTGTTGAAATAAAAAGCTGGTTAAGTGTCTACAGGTTGTCTCTAGACCCAAAAGTTACTGGATATTGTTCAAATAAAGGAATAAGGAAGAAAGAAATGAATGCATCATACTTACAAAACAACTTCATGTAAGCATAAAGATAGTAGGATGTGGACTTCGCCTCCTTACTGCTTGTATTTCTCTCAGATTATTCCCTTGTTTCATACTGAAGTTGAATTGAAAAGACTGACTTGGAGTCAGGGACTGGATTATAATTGTCTTTGTTCCTTGCCACGAGACTGTCAGAACCTACTCCACTCTAGTCTGTCACTGAACTTTCAAATGCAGGACCTGACAAATGGTTTGCCTGCTGTTTCTTTACTGAGCAAATCAGTAATTAATAAATGGCTTTAATCCTTCTTGCAGCCTGGAGTAGCTGGACTTACCCAAACAAGAGATGTAGTAATGTACTGTGCTCCAACACCAGTTACCACGCCAAGGAGCTACCTGGCAGGAATTTTGTGTTGCATAATAGTATGTATGATATTGTTTCCTCTGTGCTGGTGCAGCATACATTCCAAACATTGCTCAGCATGATGCCTTGCCAAATGTAACATTTAAAATTAACCTCTTACATGACAAACAGACATTATTCAACTACTGTGTAATTATTTTTTTACCCTCCTGGACTTTAATAAACAAACAAAAAAAACATGCTACAGAAGCACTGTGGAGGATGCAGGAAATAAAGGGCTTTGCACACTGTTGAATGGATCAGAGCAGGACACATTTGCCTTTGCACAGTCAGACTTAAAGCGAAACACCAAAACAAAATTTTCCACTTTGAAGTGAGGAGAAATACCTTTTATGGGCAGGTTCAGCTTAAAACACTGTTATCTTTGCTAAAAGAGTTCACTTCATCAAAAGAATCTGTCAGTCAATTTATCAAAGGGCTAAAGGCCTAAAAGATGTTTTAGATAGCTACATGAAAGAGTCTGCTTGTTGAGCCCTACCACTAAGTTGTACACATCTGCCCTTGATAAAGTTAAGGAGATGGTTTAAATACTGTTTTGATCATAAATTGGACAATTCTGTCAGTTGTAGGAAACATATAAATGGACCAACAGATCTCTAACAACACAACAGAGAATCAGAAGCCACATTACTTGAAGGTATTTGTGTCCTTTTTTTAACATATAATCTTTGAAGCTCTGAGTTACATTGTGAAATCTTACCTAAGAGCAAAATGTCCCATTTAACTTTGTACAAATGAGTCATTCCCAGTGATTTCACTAGGAACTCACTATATTTAACTGAGAATACAAAGTCAATAACCCAAGAGGCACTGGTTGGCACTTACATACTTGGAGGAGAATGTCAAGTCTATGTCTACACCCAGCCCTCTCCTCTATTTTCCTAACTGATAAAAAAGCACCTGTTTTGTGACCATATAATGTCTAGCTGATGGATGTAATTAAATATAAATGCAAATATGATGTAGAACTAATGTTATACATGGACTAAGGATAAATACCTTCATTAAAACAGTATTTAAATAAGCCTGAAAAAAGCATTCTCCAGGGAGAGGACTGACACATTTCCTCCTCCGATTTTTATTTACAGTTAAAAGAAAAACAGGACGAGTCCATTCAGTGCATTTGGCAAGGCAGAAATCAACTGTTTAGTCCACATTCATCTTATTTTACCCTTGAACCAGTGGCCAGGTAGCATTTAATGCAGTGGTTGACATCAGCTGGAGCACTCAAGGAAATAACCCCCAGTGCCAAATGGGAAGGCCCTGCCTAATCAGCAGCAGAGTTCCCTTTCTGTACCACATGCAAACCTTTTTAAACCATGGCATTCACAAAACTTCACTTAGTCTTAATTCTATATTTCCCCACCAAATTTAAGTAAGATTTTCAGAGAATTTCTATGATTAATCACGCATACCTTTCAAAATGTTGCTTCATGTGTTTACATGCATAGTACTTTCCATTCCTAAGACTCAGTGTCTGCAGGACATCAGAAAATGCTCCCTCTCCTATCTTACCAACTGGTATCCTAAAAACAAAAATATCCTGTTTCAGTATGTTTGAAATTGTTATAATGACTGTATAACAATTCTTCACTGATGTGTTAAATGCTGACTAATGGAAAACTTAAATAAAAGGTGGGGGTTTTTTGTGAACACATAAGTTATTTGAGAGAAAATATAATGAAAAACAGTAAATGAAGTTTTGCTGCCCGTATTACAGAAATCTATTTTCCTGAAAGTAAAATACAGTAATCCTTAGACAATGAACTACCACCTTCTTGCTCAGAGACATGATTCCTCTGCAGGCAGCCCTTCCCACCTTTTTTCTGCTGCAGCACATTAGCAGCTCATATCTGAATTTATTCTTTGCTTCTCTCACAAAAAAACCCTCCAAAATCTCCAAACCTTTATTTATGCTGTACTGAAAACATAAAATTATTTTGGGAAGCAAGTGTATCATGGAATCATTATTCTAACACAGGGGTTATTTGTTGGTTTGGGTTTTTTTTTTGGGGGGGGGCTGTTGTTTGGTTTTGATTTTGCTTTTTTTTTTTTTTTAAGCAAAGCAGTTTCTGACTTTAAAGCTTTATTCCCATATTAAATTCAGGTATGAGTTTTGCACTAAAATAATGTTTGCCTTTGACAATGAAGTGCTCCAAACACAAGGATGTAAAAAGTCAGTCAATTCTAATTCTGCAGAAGTTTAAAGATGAAGCATGTAAGATAAGAGTTATGAAGAAAGCTTTATTTATATTAATTTTTCAGTCTTCTAATTTCTATCAGAATTGACATTTCTTTTCTTTCCTCCTTTATTCTCCTTCAGCTTTGTGATTAACTGTTCCTTACCAATCCCAGCGCCTGGTTACCTTCACCCACTTCATCCTCCTATTTCCTTTTATTTTTAGCATCTATAGATTCTATCCTTGATAATTTTTTCAGTAATTTCATCTGAGCAAAACCTAATTCTGGTTAGCTTTATGCTGCTGTTGCTTTTGACATGGTCTTATTATTCAAGGAAGATCCAAACCCAGTCATTTTGAGGGAGGCAGGGCAGGAAACTTATCACATTCAGCCCTTTATGGGTGTCAGAATAACTGTGGGAGTCTCAAGCTCTGTCGACAGCAGTACATTCAGTGTAGCTGCCTGTATTACTTACTGTGACAACAGTCCCTGGCAGGGATTTGTCCTGTGAGAACCAACACTCTGCGAGGCACCTTCCTTGCCTGGAGTGAGGACTCCTTCTAAGGTCAGTTCTCGAGCAGTTTCTGTCCTACTGCTTTGTTTTGGAAGATAAGAGAATTTGCTAGTAGAGATGGGGGCCATTTCGTGCCAGTTGCTCTTTGTGTCCAAGATTTCCAGATATGTTTAATTTACAAGTATAAACACAGCCTCACAGTAGAGAAAGCCTGCCAAGAAATTTTTCAGAGGGAAAAGTTACTTAGGCAAGGGCATTCTAATACTGTCTTCCAACTAACAATCAATTTGTGTTGTCTTCTCTTTTCTCCTCTTCAGCTTTCACACTTACTCCCTGTTAAAAAAAAACCCCTGCAACGAAACAACAAAAAGGTGTTTCGTTTCCTTATGAGCCAAATGCTTATATTTTAATTTAGTAGAAACTTTCCCTTTGTAAACCTTCCCTCTTTCTCCAATACAGTAGCAGCACTTCTGTAAAATTGTTGGTTGCTCTTCTCATTTTTATCATCTGCTGCTTTGGTTTTCTGATCACTGTCCATCCTGCTGCATCATAAACTAACTAATTAGGCCACCTAAATTTGAAAAATTGGAAGATGCAGCGTAGTTTAAAATCACTCACACCTTCTAATACACTTTATACAGACAATGTACATGCAGAACTATTTTAAAAGCAGACACAGAATTTGAAAATCATTATGGGTAAAGGAGGCAATTTCTAACAGAGACTCCGAAACAGAGAGGGCACCATGGGACTGTTTAATTCCTGTGGTTGCTATTTGATAACTGGACTGAGGAAATAACACACCTTGTCAGCAGAAATCACACATTGCACCGTGTTTTCCACCCTCACTGTAAGTTTTCATTTCCTATCTAAATTGCTAAATATAAGATGGAGATCATAAATTCAGAATATTTAAACCCCACTCTTACAGAATTCCAAAGAGAAATTGTCAATGGATTTTTTTGGTAGCAACTTATACTCCAACCAGTTAGAAACACAATGACTATACTTGATCATATAATGTCAGAGCCACCCCTGTGACAAAAAAAATACCCAAGGCAGACACAAAATAAGTTAACTATTTGTTGACCTACTCTTTTATTATAATAAATGGCAATCCCATATTTTTCTTTTCTCAAATGGAAGTAATTGATTCTCTGGCATTAAAAAAAAATAAATCATATGACCTGAAAATAAGATCTTAATATCTATGGCATACCAGCCATAGTGTTAATGAACCAAAGTACTTAGGCAGGGAAAGCATTATTGTACAAATTTCTTGAAAATATCTTCATATATATAAAGAAGTCACTTAGTATATGTTTATATAATTTGGGTTTGTTTGTATTTTCTTCTATACATGTATTTTACTCCTACGAGAGAAGTCCAGATGACAGGGGAGGGCTCAAAACAATTTGATCTCTTTTAAATTGAAGAATTCTAATAGTGCAAGAAGAGCTAATCCTTTACACACTTTAAAATATTCTTACAGCACTGAAGGTGTTTTTCATGTAAGCATATAAAGCTTGTTACAAAAATTTTTTACAACAGAGTGCTCTGTAGACAAACACTCCACACGCAACAAACAACTGAGCCTTCAACTTAAGAGAGAGCCACCCAGCGAAAAGAATGACAGCAAAGACCTCAATACTTTCAATTAATTGAACGACGTGCAGAATAAGGAATGAAAACAGTGTTATTTGACATATCTCTTTGAAGCATAAAATCAACATGTAAGCTCTGAACAATCAGCAGCTGAAAGAAAATCAGGCATTGTAAGAATAAGAGCATAGGAGTTTATATGGAATAAGATGAAATAAAATTTAGACTACCAATTTATTACAAAATTTGATTTTGCATCCACAAGCCAAGGTTTCTGGAGATTCCTAAAAATCCACTTCAGCACCATCCTGACCCTTTGAGAGTGACCAGGCAGCAACAAAACCCCACCAAAACAACAGACTTCAAACACACCCTGAACAAGAACAGCCAGGTCACAGCCCAGCAATTGTAAGCTATGAAACTTAGTACAGCTACAAAACAAAACTTATTACCACTTAGATTACCTGAATCTATGGTACTCAGAGATGAAGATGGACAGAAAGGTTAAAAATTTTAAGACTGAAGGCTTCTGGGATGAAATCAAAGGAAATGTTTTAATTACACTTGCACAGAACATTGAATGAAGGAGACCTAATCACTGGTTAGCACTTCTTTCATGCCATCTGTAACAGATATTATCTAACCTCTCCCTTCCCTCCCTTCTGTTTCAGCACACACAGATGCTCAGGCTTGGAATCGTTAGTGGAAAGGGAAATAAAGGTTAGGAAGAACAAGTCGTAGCAATGTGAACTCGTCTGACACCAAAAAAGTGGCCATGAATCATTCAACAAAATAGCAATTTCATGTGCAAGAGGCTACAGAACCTAGGAAATAAGGAACAGTCTAAATTAACATTATGGGCAAGTGATGGAATTCAAAGACAACACCACTGTAGCTAGAGAGCATGGAAGATTAATCATCATTTGGAATTAAAAAATCCAATAGAAAATGACAGAAAAGACAGCACTACAACAGTCAAACCAGGATGTTATAAAAATCTAAAGCAGACACTTTGTTACAAAGATGCCAAGATGCTGAGGAAGAAAAAGCCATGATGTTTAAGTATGACACTGATGCACCTGGGAAGGGAGAAGCATCCAAAGAAGTTTAAAAAGCTGCACGAAATTGAGCTTCAGTCAAAGCCACAAGACCATGGCACGTAATTATTGCACTCAGAGACACGCCAGATGTGCAAGGTGTGACACAGGATGATGTGAAGAAGGATGCTAAGAGCTGGAAGGAAAGACATGTAGAACAAGGAAAACTTAGCAATTCCCGAGAAAGCACTTGGAGAGACCAGCAGACAGACAGAGCGATGCTCCACAGCAGTGGGACAAAGATCTATTCGCACCCTGTCATGGGACGCAGAGGGACCAGCGTTGGCAAGTGAGATCCCGGAGCTGCCCACGGGCTGTGGGGACGGCGTTCCCGGGGGCCACAGGAACACCTACGGCCCCCTCAGCGCGGGTGCTCCCGGGGGCTGCGGCCCCCTCGGTGACCACCGGCCCCCCCAGAGGCGCCAGGCCCCCGCCACCCCTCAGGAAGGGCCCGCGGCTTTCCCTCGCGCCCCCTTACTGCGCATCCCGCGCCGTCCCGCAGGTCCCAGGCCGGGCGGGCGAGCAGCCGCTCCCGCCCCGGCCCCGCTGCCAGCGTTACCCCTCAGGCCGCCATGTTGTGTTCCCGTCGCCCCGGCAACCGCGCACGCGCCAGCCGCGCGCCCCGGCCCGCTGCACGCGGCACGCCGGGGGCGCGCACGCGCAGTACGCCCCTTGCCCCGCCCGTGCCCGCCAGGTGAGGCGCGTTTGGGAACGTTGGTGCTTGGTTTAAGTCTGTTGTTTTAAGGGAAAGGGGAGGCAATCCCAAAGTGAGCCGGCTGTCTGGACGAGAGCCACCAGGATGAGCAGTAACTGGGGGAAAGGTAATTCCGGTAGTGCGAGGTCGCAACCCATTGACCACGTACCCAAAACGGACCCCAGACTCAAATGGAAGGAAGAATGCGCCTGCCGACTAATTAGCACGAGAAGTGAGAGATTTAACTAGCAAATAAGGGTTTGAGTACTCGTTGATAGAAAAGCTGTGTAATTTGTAACCAGTGAATGCCGATGCCTTTGTTTGTTAAAATGTATAATAGCGTAAAGTTTTGATGATCAGTGAGCTAAAAGTTTGTGGGTTAGTGCCCAGTCCCCTACTTCGCGCAAACTGGAATAAAAAAACCTAGAAAACCCTCGCCTCGGTATGTGAATTGTCGCTGCGTTGTGCGTGAATTGAGTCGCGTTCGGGACAACACCACGGGGCGGAATTCCCGGGCACAGCGAGGAGTTTAAGGAGGGCAGCCCTGGGACCGTCGGATTAGTGCTCCATAAATCCAGCGGCGGGCCCTGGCTGCTGTGGCCGGAGCAGCGCCTGTCGCTCAGGTTCATCCCCGGTGATGGGCTGATCCCTGGCGGATCCCGCGCGCCATTGCGATGCGGGGATGTGCCGGGATGGGATGGGATGGGGGGAGCAGACTGGAGAGGAGCTCGGAGACCACAGTCCGACCTATAGTGAACCAGCCTCCACAAAAAACCGCTGCATTTTGGAGCGGTGTGTCGTCGCCTCCCGCCCCATTGTCCTCACCCCCTCGGTGTTTGCCAAAACAGACATCGTGTGTTTTAACGTAGACTTCAAAGGTGAGCAGAAAAGTTATGTTGTAAGTATCAAAATACTAGGAAAATCGTTTGTCCGTGCAAGCTAACAGTGCGTTAAACTTCAGAAGAGTAAATGCTTTTTTTTAAAAACAGTTCAGATATTTTAATTAAATGAAACTGGAATCGTATCCTAGAAAACGTGGAGAAGTATTAGTTGCCCCATGATCGCGTGTTATTGTTATTACCTCCCAGGCGCTGCATCTCCACAGGAGGAGCGCAGACTGCTTTGTGGTTTGGCTGAAGAGTTTAGCGTGTGTTCCCGCTTGCGCGGGCCCGGCTGCGGCGCTCCTGGGGCGAGGAGGTTCCTCATCCCGGCTGTTGTCCTCACTGTGGTGTAGTAGGGCGAACATGCCCTTATCTACCGCAGAGGCAACAACTGCCGTTGAGTGGCCGGTTAGCTCAGTTGGTTAGAGCGTGGTGCTAATAACGCCAAGGTCGCGGGTTCGATCCCCGTACGGGCCATGTGAACTTTTCTTTTTTCCCGTCTCCCCAGCGTGTCCAAGCGACTCCCTCCCACCCGCCGCACACACATTTCTCCTGAGACGCTCGGTGTGACCTCTACACAAGGGCACGGCCGCGGGGCGGGGTGTGTGTGTGTGTGGGTCGAGCACCCGGGGCGGCTGCAGCGCTGCCCATGGTCCTGTGGCAGATGGAGCCCGCCCGGCCCGGGCACAGCGTCCATTTCTGTTTCTGCGCGGGCGGCTGCGGCGTGCTCGGGTCATCCCTTTGGGCGCGTTTTCCACCGTGCGGGTTCCGCTTCACGCACTCCCTGCAACCTGGTCGCTTGTCTTGTCTCCCGAAACCCTGCCCGGTAAGAGCGACTGTCGGAGCATAGAATCACCGAATAGGTCAGGTTGGAAAGGACCACAGTGGGAGATCTGGTCCCACCTCCCTGCTCAAGCAGGGTTATTCTGCACGTGGCACAAGATTGCGTCCAGATGGTTCTTGAATATCTCTAGTGAAGGAGACTCTACACTCTCTCCGGTCAACCTGTTCCAGTGCTCGGTCACTGCACAGTAAAGAAGTTCTTCCTCGTGTTCAGGTGGAACTTCCCGTGCACCAGATTCTGCCCGCTGCCTCTCGTGCTATTGCTCGGCACCACCAAGCAGAGCCCGGCTCCGTCCTCCTGCCACCCCCCCACCCTTTAGATATTTATACTCATTAATGAGGTCCCCTTTCAGTCGCCTCGAGGCTGGACAGGCTCAGCTCCCTCAGCCTTCTCTTGTAAGAGAGATGCTCCAGTCCTCCAGTCGTCCCCGTTGCCGTCTGCTAGACCCGCTCCAGCAGGTCCATGTCCCTCTTGTACTGACACTGGGTACAGACCGCACCTGGAGCGCGGGGAAGCGCAACTCGCGCTAACTCCACCCGCAGGTCCCACCCCGGGGGCCGGGCGCTGCGGGCGCACCTCCGCCGGGTTTTGCCCGCGCGAGCCGCCGTCGGCTCCGGGCGGCCCCGCCCCGGGGGGGCGCGGCGGGCGCTGCCGGGGGCGCCATTGGCCCCGTTGGCCCCGTCGGCCCCGCCGCCGGTGCCCCGCGCGCCGCCCGTGCCGCTAACACCGCCCGGGGCCGCGGATGCGGCGCCCGCCCGCCCGCGCCTGCCAAGATGGCGGCTCCCGGGGCGGGGGGCGCCGGGGCGCCTCCACCGCCGCCCCCTGAGGACGAGCCCCCCGGGGCTGCCCTCGGCGCGGCCGCGGCGGCGGGGCGGGAGGAGCTGCTAGCGGTGACGGAGGAGCTGGTGCAGAGCCTGTCCGCCCTGGAGGGCGGCGCGGCGGGGAGCGGCGCCGTGCTGTACCTGCGGGCGGACGGCAGCGCGGCGGAGGGCACGGGGCTGCTGGAGCGGCTGCTGGAGAGCCCCGGGCCGCCCCTGCCGGCCCGGCCCGCCGCCGCGCCGCTGGCCCCCGCCGAGCTCCGGCGGGTCATCGAGCAAGTGAGCAAGGCCCAGGAGCAGCAGAAGCCGCTGGCGGCCGCCGCCGCCCCCCCTTTGCAGCCGTGCCCGGCGGGCGGCATCATGCAGAACGCCGCCCGGCAGCTGCAGAGCGTGGCCCAGCAGGTTGCCCTGCAGCAGGGCCGGGCCGCGGCGGCCGCACGGCTCCTCCCGCAGAAGGTAACCCAGGGGCTGGGCGGGGAGGGAAAGAGGGAGCCTGCGGTACCCGCTCGGTGGTGAAATCCACGGCTCCGGCGGGTTTAATTGCTTAATTGCTTTAAATATATTTCTTTTTTTTTTTTTTGCCTTCCTCTTCAGTAACACCTGCCCTCGGGTGTAGGCTCGAGTGCCACAGCTCAAAGACACAGGCTTCAACGTGGTTTAGGAAAATCTGTATTTGAACGTAGCTAATAGCTGCCGTGGTCAGTGTTTCTGTCTGACAATATGTGCCGCGAGAACTGCTTAGAAGGGATGTTTCACAGTAGTGATGCACAGGTAGATAATGTGTGCACTTCTTACAAGAAGGTGACAGTACCTCTGCTTTCAGCCCACGTTCTGGGGTGCAGGGGTTGTCAAGTGATTGATTTGAGCTGAGGCAGAACTTTGGATGAGCAGGAGAGACTGTGAGGGAGATGATCAGTAACATGTACCTTCTCTGAATCATCACCACAAAGTTTTTTTGAAGTGAGCACATATTATAGTGCGTTCTGGACCAGGTATTTGGCCTGTGTCATGTAGCACGCTGTAGTTCTCCTGCGTGTGGGGTTTGCTGAAGGTTATGAATGTGCCTTGGTGATGGTGTTGACTCTGCTATTCCAGACAGGCCTGCTAGCAGGAAACAAAGCTGTGACATGGCCTCAGAGCAAACTTTACATGCTTTAGTTGAACAGCAATCACAGCAGTAAATGTGCAGGAAAACCCGTAGCTGGAAGGAAGGGAATTTATGCTTTGATGTTAAATCTGTGCTTTGATGCATTAAAATGGAAAACTTATGATGTGCAGCGGTTTCTTCAAGCTTTTCTTTAAGGGCATGTGTGTATTATCTTGATAAGTACTGTATTTATTAATACTGTATTTGTGTAATTGCAACTCTTCCTTTTTTCCACAAAAGCAGCTGGAAGCCATTTGTGTCCAAGTTCAGCCAGGACAGATGAAGGAAACTGAAAGGCCAATGACATCATTGGCACCAGTCCAGTCCAAAACTATAACGCTGAGTCAGCCGGTTGGTAGGAATTCTAGCATGCCAGGACTTGGCATTATTAATCCCCAGATAATCAGGATACAGCCTGTTTCAGGAACTGAGCAGCAGCAGCTATTCCTGCATAGTTCTTCCGAGTCTCCAGTTCAGTTGCTTATGCAGAGACCTTTGCCATCTCATGGATCAGTGTCTGTGAACAAGATTCCCACATCTAAGATGGTAAACGGACAGAAAGCTACTCGTGCCGCAGCGTCGGCTTCAAGGTCTCCAAACACTACCGTGGTTGCAGCCAGTTCAAGTACACCATGCCTTGAAAAAAAGCAAAAGGATGACAAGTTAAAAAAATCCTTGAAGGTGAAAACTCGTTCTGGACGGATTTCACGTCCCCCCAAATACAAAGCTAAAGACTATAAATTCATTAAAATGGAGGATTTGGCTGATGGTCATCAGTCTGATTCTGATGACTACTCTGAGCTGAGTATAGAAGATGATGAAGAAGGAAAGGTGAAGGGAAAGGATGCATTATTCAGTTCTTCAAATTATAATCTGAAGCCCAAAATGTTTAAGTGTCAGACTTGTGAAAAATCTTACATAGGAAAAGGAGGATTAGCAAGACATTATAAACTTAACCCAGGCCATGGACAGCTGGAGTCTTCACCTCAAAAAATACCTCTAAATAAGCCTAATGGAAGTATATTTGTGGACAATGCCTGTGGAATAAGAGAGGAAAGGATGAGTCCAGCATATTTGGATTCAATTGCTGTCACTTTAAATCATCAAAATGCACTAGCTACCAATCTGGAAGAAACTGTTGATTCAAAGGCTGGAGAAAAGGTAAAGTGTTACTTGGAAAAGCTGTCAGTTTTGTGGGAAGTAGAATGGCAGTTCTGCAGCCATATCGTCTTGTTCTGCTCAGAAATATCCACCTATACACTACATTAAACAAATTTCCTGTTGAAGTGCTTTAAAAATCAAATTGTCTCTTGCAGTTTGCAGGAATAGTACTCTTGCACAGACACCTACAACTGAGTGTTCATTTGTTACTGCATACAGTTTTCACCTTGTCTGCATAAATACATTCTTCTCTGCATTTGGATAAGAACATTCTTATTCAGTTACAGCCTTTAGCATGACAGCAGGAAATTATCTGCTCTATCAATTTCTGTTACTGCAATAGTGTCATCACAAAAATCTCTTTATTTTCCACACAGCAGTGGACTGCAGCTTTTCCTAGAGCAGGTGTTCAAAGCCTGGCTTTGAAACCTTGCATGCCAAATACTCTGGTGAAACTTGAGTCTCTGGGTTGGAACCTACTTCAGCTGCAAATTCTTTTCTGTGATGTTTTAAGCTGGTAACTTAAAAGTTTCTGTTTTAATATTTAAATGACTCTTAACATCTTGCAGCAAGAGCTGATGCAGCTGCTGTCTAGGAAAAAGTACTCATTTAGATGTAGGAGTGTCACATTTATTACTTTAGTTTGTACTTATGAAGTTGCTCTCAGGAAAGCAAAAATGTACAGCTTATGTTGCCAGTGCAGCAACCCAACCTCCCCTCATCCTCTACACTAATCTATCATTTTTGGAAAAAGAGAACTGCAGAATACTGAAGTTTGCTCTTTGAATTATTGTAGAGTTGTTACTTCCCTGTACAGCACTTATTTTACCCAGGATGATGAGGATTTAGAAAAGACTTAGTCTTGTATATTTTACTACTCCTGAATCCTAGATTGTGACTGTACCTGCTGCTTTTAACTAGCAAGTTCTACAAATGTGCCCTACACATTTGCACATAAACTCATTGATATGTTACAGGTTTTGGTCAAGTGAATACTTCCTAGAAAGAATAGCAGGATTATTAAAATTGTTACAATGATACAGACAGGAAGGCAATCACGATCCCCACGCTCAACCTAGTCTGATGTCACATTTAGAACTAATTTAGTAACTTAATCCCTGGATAGAACTGACATAAATTTGCCATTTTTAGAGCTTTCCTAATCAGTAGAATAGTAGGGAGCTACTGGATGCTGAGATGCAAACGTACAGATTATGCAAAGAAGCCTGATATACCTCAGTACTATTATAAACTCCTTTCTTAAAAGATACTAGAACATTCTTAGAAATTCTAGCTTGGAAGGGAAGATGTGTTCAGTAAGAAATTACTGCTTTGAACAGTAAAAAAAACTGCCCTGAAATCACAATAACTTAGCAACTCAAAAGTACCTTTTCTATTTTTATGGGGTCTTGTAACAGGAGCTGCTTCTTAGCTGTGTTCCTTGGGAAGACTAAGAATTTTGAAATGTGGGAACTGGGCAATATATTTTGATATTTAGTTACTGGGCTTGTCAGTGTAAGAGTTCTTGTCTTTCCTATAAATTTTTTATGCTTTGACATGGTTAGAATAAAACCCAACTTACTCTTCGGGTATGTTTAACTGCTAAATACGTTTTATTTCTACAACCTCTTTGAAGATGATGTATTTTACTTCAAAAATGTTAAATGTATTTAACTGACTTAAAACAGCTCTTTAATTATATTCCCATAATCTCTGTATTTTGGATGACATTTTGTGGATCAAAAATGCTAACTTTGCAAATAATGGCATGTATGTGTTGCAGAAGTAGCAGTCTTACTAATGTGCTGGATTTATTCCACAACTTTTCTTTGCAAGTTATGTTTGTATCCAGCTTTGCATTTTTTTAATATGCTATTTATTGTTTGCATAGAAGACAAACTTAATTATAAAACTGTCTTCCTCAAAATAGTATTTAAAATGGTGAATAAATACTTTTTTCTTTCTTTTAATTAAGACTTCAAAGACTGCAGAAAGCAGACAGTTGCTGGCAGAGCAACAAAATGAAACCAGTTCAGGACACCGGGGACCAGTAACTCCAAAGGGACCTGGAAGGCCCAGACGACCAAAGAGACGTGGTCGACCAAGGATGGGTGGAAGATCCAGGTGTTCTGGAAGGCTTAGCAGACCTGGTCAGTCCCCTTCAAAGTCACTTAGTAGTGTGTCAGCAGAACACAATGTATTCAGAAGAAAAGCTAGGTTAAAAGAGGTATGGTTCTCTTCTGCAATTACTTCACAAGTGTCTTCCCCCTGCCCTCTTTTTTTTCCCCTTTTTTTTTTAATCACTTATTTTCAATGAATCATTTTCAAAAAAGATTTTGTTGGAATTTTTTTTTACATACTTGTGTACTGACAAGATGAAAGCCTAAGAGTCTTCTCAGAAGAAAACATTAAGTTGTCTTTTAAGAAAAAAAATACTTCCAACAGAACAGTGGAAAAAGAGAAAATGGGATGTCAGTCTGGAAAGGGGCTTTTGACATGTAGATGTACTCTTGCTATCCTTTTTCTGGAGAAGGAAAGTTACTAGCCACTAATGTATCTCCTCAAACACAGTAAAAATCACAAACTCAACTGGAGTTGAACAACATCAAAAAAGAAAAAAAAAAACAACCAAGTCCACAAAGAAGGTCTTGGGGGAGGATAGAATGGGGATTAAAATCCATGCAACTAACACAGTTCACTCTTTTGTTTCCTATGTGTTGTAGATCCTTTATGGCTACTAAAGCTACTGAGGTTGCTGTTCTTTCTATGAATTGGCAACATCTGTGGGACTGAGTTTTGTCTGTAGATGAGTAGTAACTGTTCTGAGGTTTTCTAACTTATCCCGTTTTGGTGTTAGTTTGCATCTGTTCTCCAAGCTGCTTAAACATAGGGCGTATCTTTCAGAAAAAAAGTAGTGATATGTTATATTCTGCAAATGGGATGCATAACCTGTGGGCTGCTTTTTCTTAATAAACTCATTCTGGCTTTTGACAGCTAATACAACAGTGTGATAATGAAGACTTAATGGAGCTGGCTCTCCCACGTCTTACAAAGCTTGTTACAGTGTATGAATTTCTGTTGATGAAGGTGAGTTCTTATGTAAAAATGTTAAATTACTTTTGGGACACTTTCATTAGTATACATAAAAAGATTCTTTTAGAGACATAATTGAATTTCCTAAGTTGGAACTGTGTGGCACATAGATGTTCCACACATCACTTCAGTCTTACAGAGGCAAAACTCTGCTAGGTCTCAGCGCACAGCCTTGCTTTTTGCTGCCTGGTTCAGTGGCATTTTGAACATTCCATAATCTTTTGACTTTAATGTTCCTGTTTTAAAATGTTGAACAAAACAAACTTGACAGATTTTAATTTCATCTTTTTTAAAATACAGGAGAAACGAGCCCTTTTTTTTTTTCCCTCTTATTTCTAGGTTGAAAAAGGATATCCAGCCAAAGCTTACTTTCCAGATGTGTATAGGGAATTTGAAGACTTGCATAACATGGTAAAGAAAATGGCTTATGATCACCTCAGTAATTCTGATTCTGTGAGTTGCCAGCAGCCTGTTGAAATAAAAGATGCTAAGGTAATAAAGCACTGTTTGGAACCATGATTTTTTTTTCGTTTGTTTGCTTTATTTTAGATGCATTGCATTTTTAATTTTCTCTGATAGGTTTTGTTGTGCTGGTGAATTTATTTGAAGAAAACGTGATTTTTGATTAGCAAAAACAGACATTATTGTAAAAAGTCCAACAACTTACCAAGAAGGAATAAAGAAGAATAAACTAGAATTGTAGTTTTATGTCAGTGGATACAACTAGAAATATAAAAAGCAATTCTAGCAGCGCTGATACCTGCCTTGCACATCTAGGGTAGTATGAAGCTGCATGTTACTGAAAGGTGTATTTAGCATTAATTGCTGATAAAAGTACATCCTGATGTTTGATAAGGAAGGAGGGTCTATATTTAGAATAAGTGACCTTGATTTAAAGTGATAAGTAGTTTCATTGCAAAATGAGGACAAACTGAATGCATCTATGCAGTTCATAGTCATAACTAACAAATGTGAAAGGCAGTGAACACGTTAATAAAACTGCAGACTATTATTTTAGTGATTTCATATTTGTTGTTTGTGGAGCTGCATCTAGAAAGACAGATGGAACCTCTTTCTTGCTTCCCTTCTGTGTTAATGTGCATTCTTAATATAGAATGATGCTCTTTAAAAAAGAAAACCAAAACAAGACTAAACCAAAACCCAAAACAACCCTACCTTGATAAGATGAAACATAGGAGTGGAATGTGAGGAGGGGGGAAAAGAATCTTTAACCTACTCAGAGATACTCTAAACAGGAAGACTTTAAATGTTTTTTTATATGATAGCCTCAACAACCTTCTTTATTAAACTCTGCTCTGAGTAACTCTGGATTCTATATATAACCATTGTACTCCCGATTCTTTTGAGTTTGCCTGTTAATA